CTTCATTTAGTCCTGCGCCTGAGAGGTGGTATGCAGATTTTCGTCAAGACACTGACTGGCAAAACCATTACTCTTGAAGTTGAACCTTCAGACACAATTGAAAATGTTAAAGCTAAAATACAAGACAAAGAAGGTATTCCCCCAGACCAGCAGCGACTTATTTTTGCTGGTAAGCAGCTTGAAGATGGGCGTACACTTTCAGACTACAATATTCAGAAAGAATCGACTCTTCACTTAGTACTCCGCCTGCGAGGTGGAATGCAAATTTTCGTTAAGACTTTGACTGGTAAAACCATCACTCTTGAAGTGGAGCCATCAGATACTATTGAAAATGTAAAAGCCAAAATCCAAGACAAAGAAGGCATTCCACCTGACCAACAGCGACTTATATTCGCTGGGAAGCAGCTTGAAGATGGGCGTACACTTTCAGATTACAACATTCAAAAAGAATCCACACTTCATCTTGTACTTAGATTGAGAGGAGGGATGTAATAGTGTTTCAGTTTGATTCAATTTACTTATTGTAACAATAAATGAAAATAAATATGGCTTTCATTAGGCAAAATATTTGTTTTATTTTCATGTTAGGTTTTCATTCAGGGCGTGCCTTATTCCAGCGTAACCATGGTTGAGTTTTTGAAATTACTACTAGCCAGATATAAAGTCTATTGAGTCGGTGCTGGTTGCAAAATGCTAGATTTATTGGTCGTACTTGAGTATGATTCAAAGCACCAGAAATCATACTCAAGTCCTTGCCATTAAGGTCGTATTTCCAGTGCTTGTAATCATACTCAAGTCTGCTCAAATCCTGACTTGAGCATTGAGTAGAGTTCTAGAATACGAACCTTATTAGTCTGTCCCCGCCATAGAATTAGTATATTTAGTATAAATCTATGGTCGCCGCCGTTCAAATTATCAGGGTGTTCGACTAATTCTAAAATTTCGCGACTAGACCCGACTACTTCGCGACTTTTTCTGGGTGCAATTAGATCTAAGCTAGGAGCTGTGGTTCTCGAGATTCAACAGTATCGCATCTGGCACTGAGTGTATATTCAAGAATTGCTACCTTTTCTAAATAATTGATATATTCTGAGAAATTAAAAAAAATAATTGACCAGCCATTCTGACGGCAGGATGGCTGGTCGCCACTTTGTTCAGCATGAAGGGAGCAGATTTTCCAGAAGTATGTATTACCTACCAATAATTGCTACCTATTTACTACTTTCACGATTAAAGATTTACACTTCCTATACACATTAATAAAAAAAAAAAAAAAAAAAGAAATATAAACGATTGAAAATTTTACGAAATTTATTTTTTGAAAATTTTTACAGAACACTACTCAATATTCAAAGGCAAGGACTTGAGTATGATTTAATTACCCTTATTAATCTCCTTTTTTGTCTAACTTGCTTTTAGCTATACAATTTTATTTTACGCGAAATAAAATTTGAAAACATATTTGTCAACGAAGAACATAATATGAGCCATCGGATTATATTTTTAAATTTTTCAGAAAATTTTCCGGCAATAATACCACTATTTTAAATTTTTCGGAAAATTCTCCAACAGTAGTTAGAGTAAAATGAGATTTCAAATGATTGATGACAAAAGCGAAAAAAAGGTATCACAAAGAAAAATGTTCGGAAAAAATATTTATTATTTTTCCGGAAAACTTTCGAAATTATTCCGAAAAAATTGAAAAAATATATGAAAGTATTATGTTCTACTTTTTAAAATATATTTTGAAGTTTTATTTAGCGTGAATTATAAAATTTTGTATAACTAAAAGCCACTTAAAAAAAACGAGATTAAAAATGATTTCACAACAGCGAAAAACCAAAAAACCTTCGACAACCACACCAACACCACTTGTTATTGGCTCCATCGTTTTCGTTCAGTAACTTCAACGTTTGACAGATGTCACCGTCAAATGTGGAAAAATCTTAGACTATTTTTTTCCATCGTCTAAGGGAAAAACACCCGGAAAACGCCGCCTCAAATTGCCTATCCTCTTTGTGGCGGCCATATTTACAGAAACATAATTCAACTTCATGTACCAAAAAAGAATAATGTACTAAGACTTGGCTGTATGGTGTAAAACCTTTGCCTTTTCCTTTATGGAAAGAAGAAAAAAAAAAAAACAGATTGATTTTTATTACTATGAATTTTGTTGTTTAATGAAAAGATTAAATTGTATTATTGTATATAAAAGTGATCGAACTAGAACCAGTGCTTATCTACATATTATGCAATATTCCGATGTCCTTGTGTACGCCTGTACAAGAAACACAGACTGTATTTATATTATAGATTGCGATTTTGTTTGAAACGAGGTTCATTATATTTGTATAATGATTTTCTTTAATTTGTTGACATAAATATAAAACAGCACCATGAAAATAATACTTATAATATTCGTGGTCCTTGTTACACATGCTTATGGTAAGCATTCTTTGTAAATATGCTATTGTACAGCAATATTGGTTTGTTTTCTTAACAATTTTTTTTCTACTTTTCAAAGGTTCCATTCATCATAATCTCAAATATTTTGAAACAATACATGCGTCTAGCTTTACGCACCACATGGTAAAACGTGGTGCCAAAATATCCAATCACCCATTTAACACTATCAAGGAGTTAAACTTTAAGACATTGGGCAGAGATTTCAGGCTGATTCTGCACCCGCACTCGTCTGTACTGCATTCTAATTTCAAAGCATATGCTGTTGATGGTGATGGGAAGGAAACAACTGTACATGTTGGTAAGAAATTTTATTTTTAAAAATTGTTGTAATATCAAATTTTAATTTCATTTAAAATTGTTTTATGTCAAAGATTAATTTTATTTTTCAAATTAACTTTGCGTTTGTAAACTATGTTACTTTCGTTTCGACATTTTATACTTCCAGGCTGCTTAAGAATCTTTAAAGCCTAGTTTTTCTTTATGTGTGAAATATCGTCAGGGATAGTGCAAGTACACATAACTAGCATTGGATTATGAGTTTCTATTTGTGTAATTTAGTGGCCAAATCAAATCTGCGTAGATATTGTGGCAACCAAATTAGCGTGATTTACAGGAATCTATTGTTATCAGTCCATAGACAACATAAATTAATGGTTACCATGCAAAAATGAAAATCGTAGCCCTTGAAATGATTAAGTAATAACATTAAATCCCTCTTCTGTTTTAGTGCAGATTACTGCAGACACATGCTTTTTTCCAATAGTATTATACAGATTTGCACTATCCCTGATGACATGACTGTGTTGCTTCTATGGAAGTTTTGTACACCACATCCATATTCTATTTGTGAGTATTCTGGTACGATAACATTTGTGTATATCACAGATCGTGACAATTTTTACACTGGTAGAGTGTTTGGTGAGTCTGCCTCAGATGTGAAATTGCACTTAGAAGATGGTGTTATCACAGGCATTATACATACCCCTGATGAAACATATCACATTGAGGTAAGGCTTTAACACAATACAAAAATTTGAAATACATACATTTGAGAAGCTTTGTAACAAAAACTAATAAATAAAAGAATGATTTCGATTCTAATTTCGTCTAGTTTGATTGAATGGATTTGTCATAGATTTGTCCAATGTTTTTAAGGAGGATTTAGGGTTGCTGTTCAGGTTGGTTGCATAAATTTGGCATTAAAAAAATAAGTCAAAATGTGACTTGTCAGTTTTTGTTACGACGTTCTTCTTTTGCCTTCCAATGGGGTAAGCAGAGATAAGGGAGATCCACTTACTTCACCCCTGTGGGGCTAGCACAAGGCGCGACTTGCGCGAGGGCGACATATCTCGCATATCTCGCGATTTATGTCACTCTCGCGCAAGTTGCGGCCTGTCGTGATATCCTTACAGGAGTGAAGAAAGTGGATCTCTCTAATTTCTGCCTACCTTCATTACCTTAATCTTTTCCTGGCTCTTTTTCAATGCAAGTGCAATGGACATTGATCTTTCACTTACATATCCATCCACAATAATTAAATAATTTTCAAACGTTTTAAGCAGTAACATATATAATCATAGCTATTAAATCTGTCTATGTGCCAGTTGTTTTAGAGACTGCAATGTTTTTGTTTCTGTTATAGCTAATTGTTTCTGTTTTATCAAATTGTTTGCCACTCAAAATATGGCTAGATTAACATACATATAGGCTACTCTCTTTACATTTTATTGAATTTATTTGACTGACTGGCCATAATAGTTTCTGTTATATGTATAAGTATAGTAAACAAATAAGCAGAATCTAACTTTCATCTACGTGTCTAGTCAAGCATCACATTTCCTTTATTTGTATTTTTTACTTTTCCAGCCCTCATGGCGACACATTCCGCATCTCGGCGATAAGACAATGATCACGTATAAATCGTCAGATATAAAATTGATTTGGGGAAATGATGGTGCAACAGATAAGCCGAGAGTTTGTGGATATGTCAAAGAAGGAAAAGGTACAGGTTCAAGAGCACGTCAAGGTTAACACTGAAGATTTAAATCCCGGTCATTGTTAATACTCAATCAGACTTCTAAAAATCTACAAAAATATATTGATAACTAGGCATGAACTAAAACGCAAAACTATACTAGTAAATTCCATGAACGGCTCTTTGTTGATTTTATAATTATTGGGTCAGATTTCACCATCCTTCTTTTATGTATTTTTAATATCTTTATAGTCTTATGGTACGGTTTACGCATTTTCACAAGAGACGCTTTTTCCATTTTCGCACCCAGAGAGTCTCATAAAGTAGGCCGTACTGCATCCAGGCCTCTTATTATTGACCAAAAAGGACAAGTTACATGAATTCATTGAATTTTGGTATGAATGCTTGTGGTGCTACTAGTGTATAAATAATAATATTCTTTAAAATTCCGCAATATTCCGGAAGTCCTAATATTATTTGTTATTAGTTCAATAATTACTACATTAAAAAAATAACTTAATTCTTTAGAACGAGAAGATCAACACGATGAAGACAATATCAACGTAGAAGCCAAACATGAACAGTTTGAAAAAGACAAATATCTTGAAGAATCCCAACATAATTACGAATCGGTATTAGATCAGTCAAAAAAAGATAATAGCTCTCAGACAAATGGAAAGGGCGGACGAGTGAAAAGACAGAGCGATTATGAATATACACCGACAAAAACTAGATGTCCTTTGCTATTGGTAGCAGATTACAGATTTTTTCAGGAAATGGGAGCTAGTAATACTAAAACAACCATAAGTTATTTGGTAAGTTTAATGTGTTTATGTTTTTTAAAAGTTTATGATATTAGAAATATCCGTTGATGGAAAAATTATTAGTAGTAAAACAATAGTTATTATTATTGATATAAAGATCTGGCTGGACTCGAAACAGCAACCTCACCAAACCGGGGCTATCGCTCTCTCAACTGAGCTACGGAGCGAGTCGGCAGACCTTACGAATTTAGCTATGTGTTTGTTTTTTGTTTTAACAGGTTTTTTGTCGTAGCATCACATGTGAGAAATCTATGAAAGTTTTTCTTCATTTGGTTATCATGGTAGTAAAAACATCATGATACTCAATAAAATAAATATTATAAAACAGTAGTCAAAATTTGTTGTCTTTAATAAAAAAAAACTATTATTTTTAGTTCTTCAATAATTGAACAAATGAATGAAATCAAATCTTTTTTGTTGCACATATAAAATAATAATTTATCGATTTATTTTCCAGATAAGCCTAATAGATCGTGTTCACAAGATATACAATGACACGGTTTGGCAAGATCGTCAGGTAATTAGAATCATATTAAGTTAGTATAAATAATGTTTCGTTTTCGTTATATTGTAACAAAAACGTAATGTTATTTATATTAACCTATTAAAACAATCGATATGTAACTTCAAAAATGTATTTCAAATAATTTAAATATGTAAACTATACATTACAACTTGACTGTTGAATAGTTTGTTCCCTGTTCATAGAAAAGCGAAACAATGCACTCTTTCACATCTAAACGAATATATTATACATATTTTACAGGATATGGATGGTTTCAAAGGAATGGGATTTGTGATCAAAAAGATCTTAGTGCATTCAGAACCAACACGCGTGAGAGGCGGTGAAGCACATTACAACATGGTCCGCGAAAAATGGGATGTTCGCAATCTACTCGAGGTTTGTACTGTTAATGGTTACTAAAACTGAAATAACGGAATTCTTATGGAATCATATACACGGTGGAACGGAACGACCGACAAAGCCGAAAATATCACGTTAAGAACCCTACATACATAAGTTTTATTTACTTTAAATGTAAAATCAGAGCAGTTGGAAAATGTTCGTCCAGATTTAAACCTTTCGCGGTGCAACAACCCTACGCGAATCAATCGTGTTAGTACATCTACTGCCCCACAGGCGGCGTTCGTGTCATTGGCACTCGCAGAAGAAATAAGTGTACTCACTTGAATAGGTAATTAAAACACATTGAACTTACTTTAAATTAAAAGGATGTTCGATTTGTCCACGTCCCCTTTGCTCTTGCAGACATTCAGACATTTCAGACACATTCCTGGGTGTGCCGGTCACACGCCGATATGGTTTTCCACACAAACACACTAATACACTTTACTTGCTCAACACAAACACTACTTATAAACAGCACTATTCCAATAAGTTGCTGTCACAACCCAAAAATTAATAAGTAAACGTTGTTTTGTGTTGTAAACACGAGAAAAACATGAGACCACGAGTTACCAAACAGCCAGGCATTTTAAACTAATTTATGAATGAAAAAGTGTTACCAATTAGACTAAAGTAAATATCACTAAACAGAATGGTCACAGTACAGGCAAAAGACTCCTGAATACTAAGATAAAAATAATATTAAATTTTAAACGATTAAACCTAATTAAATACGCACCAATAAATACCAAATTTTTTTTTTGTCTCTAGAAATAAAAGACGCTTTTGATGTCAAATCGTCACATAAAGGGACAAAGTTACTTACTTGGCAACTCTGCATAGAGATGCGCGCGGCGGCGGCGTACGCATCGGATATCATTGATTACTAATATCTAATTGTTAATTTTAAAAAGACAATTATGATAAAGAAATAGGTTTCGCAATAATCGTCTTGTCTGGTATAAGTACCATGACCAATTCAAAAGTAAAAGTAAGGTAACTGCAGGTCGTTTAATAAATTGTAATAAATAATCAAATTTAGCAATGTGATAATCGATACTCAAAAATAAGAAAACGAACCGTGGAGGTGGTCTGCAGACCTCCAAGAACCGATTTATTTATTTTTACATTACATTTATTAAAATTTAAACTACTCATCTCAAGTTAACCGAAATTTTCGTTTTAAATGTTGATCTCATTAAAATGAACTCTTCGTTTTAAAGTTAGTAAATTCTTGTATTGTAAATTAAAACTATTTCCAAATGCATTGAAAAATAGACTAGTACAAAAAAAACGATTTCCCAATTATGCTGCCCAAAACAGATAACAGGTATCAAATGCATCTCTAAGCCGTTATAAGCGACGTGATTGGCTGCCTCAATTTACTATTTTACATCAGGGTCGGATTAAGGGTTACGAGACTATTGTAATTTGAGTATTTGACGCATGTTGTAAAACGTGTTTACTTAATTTAGTTATGTTTATTTAAGTTAGTCTTATCTTACGACGCACAAAACATGGTTGAACTCCTGTCAGAATCATTTAGAAAACTTTACTTTTCTTAAGTTGTTGTAAGTAGTTTATAACAACGCATAGTTTAGAAACAACATGTCTCCCGAAGATTCTATGAGAGGTGCATTTTTTCGGTAAATGATAATATTGGGTCGTCAAACACGGAATTTAAGGGTGTTAATTACTCTCAAAATAATACAATAAAATACCCGCATAATTAATCATGATTCACATGATGACCGATCAAACAAAGTTATTGATCAAAGAAAGCGACTGATGGGGTGCTGATCAACGACGGAGGTCAGCGACCTATTAAATTACAAAGTTTTTTGCCCTGAGTACCTCCCGGTAGTTGCCTCCAAACAGCTGTGTTTTATGACGTAGGGTTGACAATACAGACTTTTCAAGCAAATCTTTATCATTGAATAACTTGGAAACTATTACACTTAGAGCAAAAAGACTTTCAGTACAATTAAGTACATATTTAAGACTTTTCACGGTTTTCGGCTTTGTCGGTCGTTCTGTTCCACCCGGTATATTTATACGGTATAATAGTAACAGCTAAAAGTACAATACTGTCGGCTCGGTCACTGAGGTGTATGTGTGGCGTGCAGCTCGTTGAACCTGCCGTTGTGCCTGCCTGCACAGCATTGTCCAGTTTTCCCGCGACTACTTCTAGGTGACTGTTGGCGCTTCCACTCACTCTGCACGGACTAATAACTTAGAGGATATTTGATCGCGATACAAGACAGCGTAGTCGGGTATTTAGTACCTATTGCTACACCAGATGTCGGGACGAGCGCCAAATAGCTACATTTTTATCTAATTTCTTTTACATTGACGAGCTGCAATTTATCAAAGCTACTCCAATTTTTAGTGATAACAAACAAGTCAACTAGATGGAGCTTATTTCGCAGATTTTTATGATTCTTTTATTTCTTTAGGATTAGCGCCATCTAGAACGATTAGGAATGGGTAATTTATAAATTACTTTGTAACACACAATATCATATTCGATTGATACGCTATGTGTCAAAATTCAGAAAATAATTTTAGCGCATGGTCCATATTTTAATAATATTACAAGGAAAAAACTGAGTACTTGTATTTCATAATTAAAGTGGAATTAATTGATATCCACGGGCCTTCACGGCCATTTTCATAATATAAACTACTTCCAGGCTATCGATCGGCGCCATATAGGCATAAGACGGGATCTTGACTTTTTTCAGACTTGAAAGTTTGGCAGTAAACGTGCCTTAAAAAGCATGACCTTAATATCAGGTGTTTAACTTGTTTCTACTAATTATCTCCTTAAAATTTTGATAGTAGTGTCGGTTCTACCAATGATTTGTCCACAGTTGATGTGTCTTACTCTTGGTGTAATAAAGCCACATCTGCAAAATAACAACTTGTCAGGAAAGTTTGTAAGAATGCAATTAGTTGAAAACTTTTTATGCTTAAATAGGAGAGTTATACAGTTTGCACACACATAATTAGTTTCATGTCCTTCATATTACTTTTTGTGACTTTCGTGTGACAAAAACACTTTGACGTATTATCGCATGTGCTTTGCTATGCCAAGGGTAAAATTTCGGGGTTAAACGGTACCACCGCGTAACGCAATATCAATGCCACATTTCTGGCAGTTTTAGCTGACTAACTCTATTGTATCTATTGCTTCTTTCAACAGGTATTCAGTCGTGAGTACTCGCATAAAGATTTCTGCCTAGCACATTTGTTTACCGATCTCAAATTTGAGGGAGGTATACTGGGACTGGCGTACGTTGGATCACCGAGACGGAACTCTGTTGGTGGTATATGCACTCCTGGTAGGTTAAAACTCTTATTATGTATTTTTAATGTTTATTAAAATTTTCTTAATGTTAAGTTTTATTTGACTACACAATTTTTGTAACCTCCTTTTTTTTATTATATCAACATATCATTTGTTTCACGTTTTTATTTTCAGCCGCTTCGGTGCGATAGTGTGAGTGTTCTGTTATTTTATCGTTCGCTTGAATGCTTGTCCACATATTATTAATTTGGTGTTTGTAGCTTTGTTTTTTTTTAATTTTTATGCTGACTTATTTATAAACATTTTATATTTTATAAAGCCGTGTAAATGTTATTTGATATAAGAAGCTAGCTAGTATCTACTACACGAAATGTTCGTAACATTTAACATTTTAGCAAATGTATAACAACTTTATAATAATTTCTTCGTACGTAGTACCATACCTATGGTAACAAGCATATGTATAACATTACATTAACATTTGAATACTTTTACTTTATGTATTACAGCATATCACATGCGCGTGGTTGAAGCGTGCTTATAATAACTCTAATAGAAACAATTTGCAGTTACAATCACTTGTTCTCGTAACAGAATATTTCAAAAACGGATATACTCTGTACCTGAACTCCGGGTTATCATCCTCAAGAAACCACTACGGGCAACGGGTGATCACCCGCGAAGCTGACCTAGTGACAGCACATGAATTTGGACATAATTGGGGCTCAGAACATGACCCTGATGTAGCCGAATGTTCGCCCGCTGCGAGTCAAGGCGGATCGTATCTTATGTATACTTATAGCGTCAGTGGATATGATGTTAATAATAAGGTTAGTTTTAGCTTTTTTTTAAAGTTTTTGATATACATATTTATATACTCTTCTAAGACACTCTACGGGAGTCATCACACTTATCAACGCGGAATCGGCTTGAGATGAACATCCCACTTGACGCAATAGCAATGGCGTAGACGCGGTCGGTTTGCCGTCTCAACGCGGCCGTTCGGCCGTTACGCGTATGTTCAGTCACGTCACGTCAGCCCCGCAGTTCAGACATCGTTAAAGATTGGGAGTCTGAAAGGCCACACATTTTTGGAATTGTGAATGCGGTCGGAAATTTGCAGATGTCGAGCTGCGTCGAACCAACTGATGTGAAACGCACAACGTCTTTTGCGCTCTGATAAGCTTAATCCGAATCGATCTTCTTCTTTTAAATGTTATGGCTCCATCGAAATAATCGATGATTTCGCTAATGTCAAGTAAAAATGAGTATGTACGGTAGTTTTGTAAAGATAATATGAAAATTATGGCGGATGACGCCATTAGCAAGGCCGGTACCTCCCACCGATGACTCCCTTAATATTGTATTATGAATTTAGAATAGAATTAAGATAAGACTCTTTATATATACTTAGTGCAGGTGTTCTCTTACGACTAACCAGTATCTCAGTTATTTTGCACGACTACTCTAAGGTGTTATAACTAATAGTACAGTCAACTGTAATAAACGCGGATGATCATGATCTTTTAAAATTATTTGTTCTGTACGTAATTGTTGCTTGTTTACCTAGCATTCTGTCTACAGCGATTCTCCCCGTGCTCTCTGCGATCCATCCGCAAGGTGCTGCAGGCGAAGTCAGGCCGCTGCTTCTCTGAGCCCGAAGAGAGCTTCTGCGGGAACTTGCGCGTCGAAGGCGGGGAAGAATGCGACGCGGGATTACTTGGTAATATACTAGTTCAACCACACACACCCTTAGCGGAACAAAAAGGGAGAATTTAAAATAGCAACGTTTATATTTTAAATATATACAATAATCAATAACAATTAGACTTAAATTAAAGCAATTAAATTAACATTAATATACACAGTGTAGTACACTCTCACTGAAATTTTGTTGCAAAAAATCGAAATTTCGGGTTTGGTGACCGAGCCAAAACAACTGTAAATTTAAAACATTGTAACAGTTTAATCGATTAATTGACTTAATTAAATCAAAAAGTTAACGAAATTTACAAGAATCCAAAATAACCTCGAACCACTTAGACAAAGCTGTATTATAGGTAATTCAAACATATGAAATAAAAAAAATTGCAGTCGAGATTTTTTTTATTGTCAACCGATTAGACTTTCGACAAAATATTGCATTATTTAGGATTTTATTAGAGTTCCGTCGGCCAGTGTATGTAGAATAATTAACTATGTGTAATGAATGCAAATTATATTGACAAAAAGAAGATTGGAGGATACGGTATGGCGGATACGGTCTATTGGTTTTTTAATAAAGGTAATCATCATCATATCATTAAAAAATAGTGACGAAGAGTCCGTACAAATTGGTTCTGGTCTGTGTGTTCTGGGAAGTGCCCCATAGTGAATTCCGTTGCTCTGATACTCATAGTACAGGGAATTTCCTAGTCTGAGACCAGGCGATTGATGTGGTTGTCTGGGACATATTATTATTGTTACTTACCACCTACTACAGTTCAGGGGTGAAAATATCGCCACCACCTTAGACGCGATTGCACAAAATCTGTTTAGTTAAACCATGCCATGTAACGTGTTTCTATTTTTTAAGTACAATTAATTATTATTGTTTTCCACCCATTGCGAATGCTAATAATTTTCCATGACCAAAGGTACGGAGGACAACGACATGTGTTGCGACAAGAACTGTAAGCTGCGCCGGTCGCAAGGCGCTGTATGCAGCGACAAAAATTCGCCGTGCTGCGCGGGCTGCGTCTTCGCGCCGCCGGGCGTCGTTTGCCGCGAAGCTGCGCATTCTGCTTGCGAGGGGGAGGCTACTTGTAATGGTGCTTCCGCAGACTGTCCTAAGGTAACATTATACTACTTCAACACACTTTCCCTTGTTAGGTACAATTTTAGTATTATCAAATATAATAATAATAACGCACACACACTCAGCCCCGCACTTGGGAAACCCTGTATCACGGGTGCTGTGGACACACACTTCCCTGTGGCCCACAAATGACACCGTAACTGACGAGAGAAATAAATGTAGGCCATACAAATATTTAAAAAGGAGTTTCAGTCGATTATAAAACATTTCGTCATTTTGACACTTAACAGAAAGTGGAATATGAAGAAAATTGATTAGTTCTATTTTGTGATGAATCCCAATTGTTTGATTTTTTATTCGGGCCTTAATCACGTATAAAACATATTTTAATTACCCCGACATTTCCGACGTATTGCAACGTCCATGGTCTCAGAGGGACTGAAGAGACGGGTGTCAGCATCTTCTAGCCGTGCGAGTTTTTGTAACTATCCGCATTTGATCTTCATTATTTATTTGTGCACTAAGGTTCTCACTAGACCGACACACAATACTCACGACATCCTGAATTAAAAATCAAATGTGTGAAAATCGTGAAAGTTTAAATCAAAGTAATCCCAATTGTTTTAAGGCGCCGGCGATCGCGGACGAACACGAGTGCGCGGAGAGAGGCCGGTGCCGCAACGGGACTTGCGTACCTTACTGCGAGACGCAGGGCATGCATAGCTGCATGTGCGACATTGGTCTGTCCATTCTATTATTATCATCTTTATTAGATCAATAGCTATACACATGTGCAGGGTTTGGGCTACGTTATTATTTATGGATATAACATTTCTGGAACCAACCATAAATTGGTCAAATTGTAGTTGTAGTTTCCTAAATTTGCGCAGTTATGTAATTATTTATGAATATGACATTACTGGAGTAAAAAAAAATGGATCAAGTTGGAATTGTATATTATAGAGGTGGTCATTATTATAATAACAAATAATCTAATGCATTATTCTTACGCAATGACTGATTAATTAACGAGCAACTGTCTGAACAGCTGTTGCGTTCGTACGAACTAGCAAGTATGCAATATCGAGTTCTTAGGTTTTCGCGATTGTTACACAAAGGAAATGAAACTATTTTTCCGGATTTAAATCGCGTATATTTGTTTTTTCAAACAAACCGACGTTTCGGGCCCTTTTATAGGTCCCATGGTCACGGTTGACTGAGGTGGTACAGTCTTCAACCAGTTATGTCTAATATTAATGCAAACCACCCTATTTTTTCACTATAGTTACAATAGTTATTAATTAAATACCTTATTTTAATTTTACTAAGAAAACATTCCAATTTACGCTACATTAAGTTTTACAAATTATTTTATTGAATGAATTTTTATTAAGTTTAATTTATTATTAATAGAAATTAGAATAAACTAAAACATATTAATTAGTACTGCAGTGTTTTATGTCTGTTTGGGATTTTTCATTAGAGGAAATACTGGATCCCAAATTGGTGGTACGGAGAAACCATCTTCCCTGTTGAAATTAGGATGTTTTTTAATTTCAATGGCCTCTCGCAGCATCCTGGGCAGATAACGGACTTCTTTTGCAAGGACCTGGGGTTTGTCAAACTTCATTGAATGTGTAGGTTTATCCATGACATGCTCGCAGACTGCAGACTTGTTTTGTTGAGCATGTCATGGATAAACCTACACATTCAATGAAGTTTTAAAACTTAATGTAGCGTAAATTGGAATGTTTTCTTTGTAAAATTAAAATAAGGTATTTAATTAATAACTATTGTAACTATAGTGAAAAAATAGGGTGGTTTGCATTAATATTAGACATAACTGGTTGAAGACTGTACCACCTCAGTCAACCGTGACCATGGGACCTGTAAAGGGCCCGAAACGTCGGTTTGTTTGAAAAAACAAATATATGCGATTTAAATCCGGAAAAATAGTTTCATTTCCTAAGTATGCAATAGTAATTAATTACATTATTGAAAAGAAAAACTCCTTACCTATTTCTGCCGCCAAGCAGTAAGTAATGTCAGCATTACTGTGTTCCAGTTTTGAAGGGTATAAGGGTGCTGATGAAATTACAGGCACATGGGACTTGTCAACTTGCCTCAGGGTGACGGGCGCAGTGGTAGTGCCCATCAGATCTTTGCAATTTAAAGTTCTGAGTAGCAGTGCAAAGCACTGTAACTGTTATGGACAGGCGTGTAGCTTACCATCACGAACACAACTTGTTCGTCCCGTCACTTGATGTTATAAAAAAAAAACAAACGACCTTTCACAGCCACATAGATCTTAATCGTACCAGACGATAGACGAGCGCAAAGGGATATCATATTTCCTCAAAAAGTTCGCAGTTTCTATAATAATAAATTTATGTCAATGAGATAAATTTATGACTCATGGATCCTATAAAAATAAATTCAGAGTCCATTCATAACTACTACGTTTTCTCTCATACAATAATTGTCATCTGTTAGTTGCGGACGCGTGCAAGCGATGTTGTCGAAAGAGTTTAAATAAGACGTGCTTCCCTGTGGCTCACAACGACATTCTGCCCGACGGCACGCCCTGCATTCAAGGGTTTTGTAATAAGGTAAATGGCGTTAACTTTTTCTTAAATACCGAAAATCAGTTATAGTCCGTAATCGATAGATATCAAGCTACTAAATAGAAAACATTTTTCAGCATTTAACGCTTTAAATGCGTTCATTTTCTTTTTAAATAAAGGTACAGTTATGTCGTCTGTTTTATTATTATTTAATGTTCGGCGACTTATTTCAATTTTAACACATTTGTCACTTAAAACGTTGATAATTGGTATGTACTTCGTAAATCATAACTTCGCTAATAAAATAATGTAATACATAAAAATATGGCGCATAATGTGTGCGGCTAGGCGAATGAATTGAACCAGTAAACGGTTCTTGTAAAGAGATTAATTAGTCAGCAAAATCTTGGTCACGTAAAGCAATGCAAATGGAAACTTGACGAGACTGGTAGTGGCTAAGTAGAGTTCTCCGATTGGCCCCATCTTGCAGTATAATGTATACTTAGTAACTTGTCACCTATACTTTTTTGTAAAAATATTATGTCTATACATATAATCATATATACATACTTCGTTTTGCAATTAATTTTATACAAAAAGTAAACAAACAAGTCACTGACCTGACCATAGACGGTTTAGTGATGTCTAATTGTAATGCAAACTAAAAATCTATTAATTTAATTGAATGAATCGATTTGTTTAATTGAGTCATACTAGCAGTTTTCGTTACATGAATACCAAAAATACATAACCTATAAAAGCATATATTTAAAATGTCCGAAATCTTAATTTTAAATCCTCCTTCAAATCTTTACACTTAGATACTCGTTCGATTGCGATTGAAATTTTCGATTTACCAATAGATTACAAAAACTTTAATTGAATGAACGGAAAGTTTTTTTTCGTACAGCACTGCAACCATGCACAAGTCATAGAAGTATAGATGAAAAATAACCTCACTTTTGAACTACCATTTTTCAAATACGATTTTACGATGCTATTCAAATGAATATTGTTGGAAAAAGTGATGAGATATCAAGTCGAAAATTTTTTAACGATTTATTGAGTGATTGCTTTAGAATTTTAACTAAACAGGTTTGTTTACTTTTTGTTGAAAATGAATTGGAACAGACTATAGTGTATTTTGCTCTACAGGGTGTATGCGAGAAGACAATACAAGATGTAGTGGAACGATTCTGGGATATAATAGAGGACATCAACATAAATAACGTATTAGGTTTCTTGCGAGATAACATCGTTGGCGTAGTCGTGCTTGTCACCGCGTTTATCTGGATCCCTGCTAGTTGTGTGGTTAGCTAACTTTTGATATTTTTAGAAATCTAGTTGACAGCATTATGGTAGAAGGCATTTTTTTAAGAACTCTTAATGCTTAATTTACTTTACCGGTCGCGCGTTCTTCCGAGAATTCTCGCGCAGCAATGTAAATTGAGCCTAAATTTGTGTGCATGTTATGTTTCTTTTCAAAGTAATTTCAAATAATTCTGTAAAAATTTACGAGTTTTTTATTTATTAACCGACTTTAAAAAGGAGGAGGTTTTCAATTCTACTGTTTTTTTTTGTAATGTTACGCGATAACTCTGGTATTTGTGAACCAATTTTCATGACTCTTTTTGTTGGAAAGAGGGTACATCCATAGTGGTCCCATTTAATTTTGAAGAAAATCATCCACCTCTAAGGGTGGCTGTTCACGCATGAAGATTCACTTTTATAAAAAACGCCTAAATTTTAGTATAATGAACAATTATTTTAATGGTTGGTTTTGCTATTCTATAATTCAAGGCGTTTCTCTCTCAATATACTTTGGGTAGTGAGAACCGATTTTTATTATCTCCTGTGTCAAGTCCCGTATAGTGGCGAACTAGGGGATGAATAATCCGGGTTTGCGCACTTTCCGGTAACCGATTTCAATAAAACTTCGTAATTATATGTAATTCCACGTACTTTTGAGGTCGGTGTTTTTTAGTACTCTGTACTGAGATTATTTTTTATTTCGAGATTTCTGCTCCCTGAGCGATTTTTCTCCCTCTTATTGAATTTTTCAAGAAAATAATTTCGATATCTGGTTTGTATATACATTTAAGTGTTTTTGCCAGATAAGTTACGTCGACAGACGTCGGCAACGCCATCATCAGAAATACCTCGAATGGGAGAATCAGCGCGACCTCGTCCATCCCTCTTCGCCACGCAAAATTATAGAGACACGGTCAGTATACATTTCTGCATTTTTTCATACGTAACTGTTTATGCGAGGGAAGCTTGCTAGATGATGGAGTACTAAATTACATGTTGACAGATGTCCTATAATGACGTAAATCCGGGCAAACGCCATTTGACTTAATTTTAGTTGAGTGCGTACATCTCTTTATCGGTAAGAAAAAGGCGGAAGATTTTATTTTAGTATAGACTTGTTTAAATTTATCGCGTCTCTAGGTCTTATATTTCTTTTTTTAAATAATAAATAATTTCAAAATATACTTTTTTTTTATTGTATCGTGTACAAATATTATTTTTGGGATGTATTTATTATTCTTCTGATCGTTATCCTTTCTTTTAGTTCCTGTCCAAAATTGATCGTTTCTTTAAAAGTTTTGTTGGTTTTATGTAAAAAAAAAGTGGTGAAAACGTTTTCTGTGACAAGCCAAATAAAGATTTGTATCACTAGAAAAACATTTTGACACCTGTGGATTAAAATTCAATCTCGCTGTCTGTTTACGAAAGTGGTTACATGGCAGTGGGGAATTGGGTTTGGCAACATTGTAGAAGGACTAGGGAACTTGGAAAAATCGTATTTAGGTTCAATTTATATTGCGGCTCAACCGAATGGAAGCGAATTTTAACCATTTTGTACATAGCATAATGAATGTTATGGTCAATTGTGTAACGTATAAACTAGATAAGAGCCAAAATCTTCCGCGGAATTCTCGCGCATGCTCGAGAATGCTATGTAATGATAACTACGCCACGTGTAAATGTAAAGTCAGAATGTGACAATGTATGTAATTATAGTATTTTTTTTCCTAAAAATTATTACCTTTATTTTGTAAGATATTAAAAATATAATTTCAAAGAGTCAAAAGTATTCAAGGATACCAAAATATCAGGCATTAAATTGCAGTGGGACACAATAGGGGAAAAATTATTAAACATAGTGATAAAGTTTGGATGTTTTGTTTCAGACTTCCTAAACAGAAACCGCCAGGCATGAAAACGACAGCACAGGGCACAAGTCAGATTTAAAATAATATTTTTCTTATTTTATTGACTCATTATTGTTTAACATAGTTTTTATAAGATCTGGAACAAAGATAATAAACATAAAATAAACGAGGTTCTTTTTTCTATAATTTTATTACGGCATAAATATATAACTGCTACAATCACTGAGTATATGAGGATATATAAGCATTGCATATGAATAACTATATATTCCGCAGAATAAGACATACAAGCACGTTATTTGTTAGCTATTTAAATAGACTATGAATATCATATCATGTGCTACCCATAAATATATTTTAAATTCTTTATCAGGTGTAATATATGCATCAGAATCGCTTTACGTATTTCTTCGTAAATTCTATGCAAACGTACAGTTTATTTTATTTACTATATCATATTTGTTTTTAATAATATTTGTTTATTAAGGTAGGCTCAGGCTAATTTGATCGTGCATTTAATTAAGAGCAGTAGAAGTAAGCAGAGCGACACCACGTTCGTAGAAAGCGTGGGGTTCCTGTCCAGGTGCTATGGGCAGGCGAACGGTGAACAACAATTCCGAGCGAGCGCTGTTTAGGTATACGGGTAGAGTCAGGGTTTGACCACCTGTGGTCGGTTCGGCGCCACTGAAAACGAAAAACGAATTCATTATACTCCGTCCAAACATTTAACTTTTGACAGTTCGAATTCTAATCAATTGATGTCCTAATGCGTTTACAATTCGATTTTTTTATAACAATTGATTTTATTTATGAAAAAGTTTTAATCCTGAATGTGAGCGGGTTCCAAAAAGAAGATATTGTCTGATTGGAATCGTGATGTTGAGTTTGACTTGTGTACTCAAGAATTAATAAATTAATGTTAATGAGGATTCAAGTGATGATTCCCGTTTATATGGAGAAGAATGCTACGATTCATTATAGTAAACAATAAGAATTTATTATAATTTATTTGACAGGCATCAACATTTATCAATTTGAATAATCTCCGTTACATAATCTGTTGGCTCGATAAATATCGGAGCTAGAGAGCACGTCGCTTCACTAAAATTAAAAAATAAAAGAGAAAATAAAACAAAAAGTGCAATACTTCCTGTATGTATGTCAATAATTACGGAACTTCGGACGCATGCATATTATTATTTCAAAAGTTAAATGGTTGAACGGAGTATAGGTTGGATTCCATACTTGGCATAGGGACGAACGAATGAATGAGCGTGGCCAAATGAGAACTTTGTAGCGGTTAAGACGCTACTTTTTTCATTTCGGTTTTGTATGGAAACTTTGACGATTCAGCAGTAAATACAATTTGGATATACTATGGCATTGGATTTCATTTGGCCAATAGAGTACGTATGGGTCTGTCGCACATAGCCGCTCTACATAGAAACATATATGCGTGAAGACAAACGAAGTAAGAAATGAAAAGTGTTTATAGGTAATCTGGGCTTCACACATACAATGTGTGTAAATTCCTTGTTGCAATTATTGGTACTTTCGTTACATAATATTTACATCTCCAGTTTATAAGTGATACTTTCTAAACGTGTGGCCGAGAGTACCTGTAGTGTTATATTTACCGTATCCAAGTAAGGACGGTGAGTGGCAGATCGACCATGATGGTGTTAGTGAGCAGCAACCGGTTGCCTTTGACAGTGGCGCCCTGCAGCTTTAACCCGGTCACCGAAAACGACCACTCTGTCTGCGCGTTCTCTGTCGGCGTGCCGGGATCGGGGATCGTCACCTGCAGCAAAAAAGACCAACATAAAAATTGCTGTAGTTCGGTAACTACATCTTAATGTAGGTCGTTAAGTTTTCACTTATATAACTTATATACATCAATACATAATTATGTTGTATTGTTACACGCTCTTCTGTAGGTAAATTGAACACGCTTTCTCCACACACTTCGTGGACTTTGTGGTTAAACAATATTTATTTCTCACTAGAATTACAAATTCCCTTACTGAGAAACTTAAAATATAGAAGAAGCGCACCAACAATAAATAGTCAATAAGAATATATTGTAGGTAGTGGTGAAATTAAAGGCACATGGGACTTGTCAACTTATGTCTCAGAGTGACGGGCGCAGTGGCGATACCCCTCAGATCTTTGAGATTTAAAGCTCGTGAGTGACACTGCAATTGTTATGGACAAGCGTATAGCTCACCATCAGGCGCATGACTCGTTCGTCCTATCACTTGATATTGATATTTTAAAAAAAACGGTAGACATTAAAGTAAACCGTAACAAGTCTTTTAGGTAATTCTAATCTCACCTGCAGATGTAATTCTTCAAGGGACCACGAGTTGGCTTGTGCGACGCACTGGCGCGTCGCTGTGATGTAAGCTTCTGGGTTCAGTAGACCACCCAGCCAAACAGGGATGCTCTGTGAACAAAGACATAGTTAAGTTTTTATATATACTATATGTGTTATATTATTATTGGTACGTGGGAAGTGTATGAAGAAAAGTATGTAATTATTTTTAATGAGTTGGCCACCTTTATTAGCGAACATGTTCGCCGAGTTGACCGTGTAAGCAATAAGGCATTCTTAGGTTTCTTGGTCTTGTAGCGACTATAGTAACGACTGCCAAGAAGGTAATCAGAAGAAGAATCATTATGTTAAATAGTGTGTGATATTACCTGCAGTCTTTTAGCCCCACGGTCGGCAACAGCGTCAGACACAGCTGAGAGCTGTGTGATTCTTGCAGCAAAGTCCCCGACCCACTGTTGCACGGTGCAGCCGCGTGCTACGGCGTAGCGTTTCCACGAAGTAGGCAGGATACCGCGGACGAGAGAACCCACCATTGCTCGGGTCTCGTTTGTTTGTTTCATTTCACCCTGGAAAAAATGTATGTATAAGTACCGAAATATCCTCCTCGAATTGTATAAATCGTCGCGCTGAAATGGCTAGTCATTTTGTGGTCTACGAATGATCGATTCTACAAATGTCGGACCAATTCCAGTCGTGTTTATTATACATATAAATTCCATGTTGTTCTTTAGTTCCGTCAGAAACTGGTATCGTCGAAACCTGAAACGTACTACTATAAAATTTCTTACTTACCTGGCAGATTGAAATAACGTTTCGTAGATCATGCAGCACTTGCTGTAACAACGAAGCACCGGCTGCCACTTCGCGCTCGAAGAAACGGTACAACGGATCCTTGATGTTCTCCACCGTTCGGCGTAGAGTCTGAAATAGAACCGTGCTAATTAATAAACAGGCCGAGTTTAATTTTTATTATTTTGCCTGAACACCGATTTATGTGCGATAGTCATCTAACTTGTCTAGCTTCTTTTATGTGTCTGGTCGCTTATGGAAAATGCTTAAAGAAAAGCTTTACCGGTAGCTCCTGCGGAAGTTGTTGAAGCCAGTTGGCGGCGGTCTGGTGTAAAGTTTTCATCCAGGCTGGGCGACCGTCGCCTTCCACCACGATGGAGTCTAACAAAAAGAAAAAAAAACCATTAAACTTTCATAAAGTATTTATGGAACCTTATCTTTATGTTTTTCAACAAAATACTTAGGGACGTAGATTTTTTAAGGTTGTGAACGTTCTAGATAGCATGAAATTTTGAATTAATTTCGGTGTTAATGCTCAAAGGGTCTACGAGTCCATACCGAACCAGCCGACCCGGGCGGGATTGTTTCTAGAATTATGTCATAGAATTAGATTAGAAATAAGGCCGCCGACAGCAAGCCGCCGGCCGGTGTCGCCGGGTCGGCGAGTTAAATGTCAAAATGTCAATTATTATAATTGATACAAAGATTGAATACAAAGAAAAACTCCGTCGAATTGACGGGACTCGAACCAGCGTCTGTTACACCGGGGCAAACATGGTATAAAAACATCATGATATTCTTTGACTTAAACTATTAAACGCTCTGTTGTATGGTCGACTGATCACTGGTATCATTATTCTCCAAATTGTATCCTAATTTGTACCAAATACTTACGCGGGTCGTGGTCTTGCGTTGCACTGCTGTAGGCAAGTTCTTCTTCGTCCTCTAGCTGCTGCATCTTGAGCAGTTTCGACACTAAGTCACTGCCTTGAGTTGTTAATAGCACCTGAACACAATAAGATAAACCGTGACGTCCATAGACAGTACGTTTTGTTTGTAAAGGTGCGTGTTTTACGGGAAGTGAAGTTTTCTCACACAATTGGTAACCACGAATGTGAATTTCAAAAACAAAGAGGTGGAAAAAAGCCGTATTAGGCAATACGGTGTATCATATGTGCAACATACCTTTTCTGCGTTATTGGGCAATCCAAGCCACGATGGTGTTTGACGGTCGGACAATTCCTCGATCCATTTAAGGAAGTGGTCACGGCGGTTGCCGTCCGGCATAGTAATGTGCCTTTGGTTGCCAGTAGCCTGTTGTACGATAAATTATGAACGTTACTATTAGACAATAATTAGATATACAACGAAGTAGCAATATACTAATTTGTATATAATTTTAAAGTCTCACTAAATTTTGTTTAAAAGTCACTGTAGGGGTTTATCTTGTAATCCTACTGTTCAAAAAAGCTTTTATGGTCAGTCTTTTAAAGATGGGATAAACTGACAGTTCATTTCGCAAAAGTGTTGCCCGCTTGCATGCAGTTAGTGATTGCATTCAATAAATATTCTATCGACTATCAACGGAATGTTGGTTACGCTTATGCAATAAATAACCGAACTTGTTTCATTTGAATCGTTATCGACCCATTATTCGTACAACTGCTGGTTCATTCGAATCGACAATTTTTGTAAGTTCATACATACATGCACTACATTTAGAACTATTATAACTGTTGAAATATACAAAAAGGTGACATTATAGTTGTTATTAAAATGATAAGAAAAAAGAAAATTAATCATTACAACGTCGTAACATTCACAATTCACATATTTTTGACAAAATTTTACCTTCTTTCACAATCTATCGATAAAACTGTCGTTAACAACTAAAGGCTATTTAAAATTTTATGAAAACTGCAAATGTCATTTTACCCCATCTTCAAAAAAGACTGACTAAAGGCAATGTAAACAGCTAGCTCAGTTATATTGTACGTACAAGTAAGCATCGCTTGTGCATGATTGTCAAAAAAATTGTTAGTAAAATCGCTAACAATTCTTTTGACAATCATCAATCGAAAAACAAACTTTTTATTTTACTTTTTAGACTTACCCCATCAACATTAGCAACAAGCGCGAAGTCAGCCTCAAACGACCTCGGAGTAAACAACTTGCAAAGGAACGAATGCAGCAGCCTCTGATCGAACGCATTATCAATCTTTCCTCCATAAATACACTGCGACAATAAAGTTACCAGGGCCTCCCATGGTACTTTTTCTGGTGGCAAGTTGGTTCGGCCCATGGCTGTAGCGTCGATCCATGTGTCGAGAGTGTCGCATGCTACTCGTAAATCAGACTCGTTGAATTCGTAATATTTGGCCCAACCGAGTGGTACGTAACGGAGACGCTCTTGTACGATACCTGTGCAAGGAATGTGTATGTAATAGATGTGTGTGGAAGGAATAGTGTATGTAATAGAACGCTGATGAATAAACGTGATGCAATAAAGTGATTGTTTGGATTACATATATTATATACAATCGAAACATTCGACCATAAAATTGACCACATCATCATGTGAATTGTATCAGTGTTTACACTGTATTGTATTTGTGTCATTACACAATACAGCACATGCAATCATGAATAATGTGTCTAATTTTACATTGGGCCGGCGATATCGGATCCGGGAAATACTATGTAATTTATTCAAATGTAAATTTGTATATTACCGTGGAACCAAGCAAGCAGGAAGTAAAGTCTGGCACGTTCGGATGGCGGTTTCATCATCCGCGCAGCTGGTACCTTGAAATCACAATAAGTTAAATTTTTATTTATATAAAAAATGTGTAGAAATTTATTTTGTTCTAACGATTGAGAAATAAAATTAATATTATTTAATATATTTGGTCTATCGATGTGTTACGGAATGCCAACTAACCAACTTGATCTATTTATAACACGAGCATTTATGGAAAAAGTGAAATGTAATGAACACGACCAAAAAAGCAAACGCCAATTATTCGGTCTTAACTAATAAATACTAACCGTAGCAAATGTCCGCAGTAAGTTGGCACGAATGCCTGGCGGAGGTTCAAACACGAGCACACGTCCGGCGCGCAACAGGTTAACGGGCAGCTTAGGGCTGATCTCCGTCGTCAGGAAGAGACGGAAGTTGGGGTGCGGCTGCAGTGAGTGTAGTTTCTTTTCCAGTTGCACTAGCCACACTGGGGCTAGGTGGACGTTCTTCAGCATTACCCAGCTGTAAATCGAGTTATTTATTTGTTGGTTTAATAACTTATTTAGAGGATAATACTGCAATAATGTTTTGTAATTCAAATGCTACAATTGTAAAAACTTTACAATTAACAAGTTGACGGAGATATGTTATTGAATTAAGAAATCGACCCCTCCTACGTAAAGTATCGTATGTCGAAATTGCCAAGTTTACAGGGGAGCGTTTTAAACTTCTGAATTCACTAAAATAAGCATAATACGTGACTTTGGCATTTCTCAGTTTTATTCGGCAAAGCTCGTTACTCACATAGAGTATTATAAAATTCTAGATATCGGTTAGATAATCTATGATGATCTATTAGATGATCACTCTATGTGAGTAACGAGTGAATTCAGAACTCTCAAATACTCCCCTGTAAACTTGGCAATTTCGACATACGATTCTTTGCGTAGAAGGGGTCGAAATTCTAAATGAAATATATGTAAAATTATACGCAATTGTGTTCAGGCAAATGCTCAATAAATATGGTATATAACATAGTTATGTTTTCGTTATGTTAAGAAGTACCTATAACTAATTTATAAACCTTTTCTGATATCGTACACCAGCTTCAACAGTTTTTTTTTTGGGTATTGTTACATGTTTTCGATATAAAAAAAAAAGCAACATTATACTTGTTGTCTACTGTCCCTTTTGACGACTGATCGGTAAAGTATTTACTGAAATAAACATATTTTTGATATTTTTTAATTGCGCCAAGCCGGTTAAGCCGGTTGAAACTGGTATGCGATATGATTTACAATTCTCACCGTCCTGTCTTGCAAGCGGTGTTAATAGCGCGCTCTGCCTGGTTGAAGCCCTCGGCGGAACCGATAGCTATACTTGACAACGGTTTGTTCAACTCAGTTGCCATGTCGTCCACGCGACCTGTTCATAATTGTTTATGTTCTTATAGGCAAGAAAACTATAAACTTTTCCCCGTGAAAATATACATAATTTCAATACGAAAGAAGATATCCATAATATTAACCTTAGAGCTACGTCCAAACTCATGGTACCACAATTTCGTTTAACCAAGGTAAACGACTCATTTATGGGGAACTGTATACGTTTTGATAGTAAGATTCCGGAGCATATATTAAGATTATCATTTCCTAGTTTAAAAATATTTTGACTGAAAAGTCATATTACAAAATTGAAGACTATGTGTTAGATAAAAGATATATGGAAAGACGACATGGCTCTAGATTCCACATAAATTCAAAGTGTATTTCATAGCATTTAAGTTTATTTCAGCAGACGAGTTATGACTATTTCAACAGAGCTATCGAGAAGTCACCGTAGACAACGAGCAATAGTTCAAATGTGACGTTTTGAAGTGTAAATTATTTTACCTATTGAATAAATGGACGTAGTTAAACAAAAAAGATCCTCCAGAATGAACATCCAGTCACTTTCGAGATATGGCAGTTTGAAGTATTAAAAGTGTTTCTCACTCTTGTTTTATATTCAAAACTTATAATGTTTATATGTTGGATATTTTTTGCTGATCTAAGAGGTTAGACTTTAGGAACCGTTCGGTATATATACATATATATAACTCATTTTTAGATAATTATGTGAATTGGATCCTTTTTGCTTAACTACGTCCAAATGATTCTTTGACTATGACTTTCCCGACATTCTTTTTTTCAGTAATGAGGTGTTATTTTTTTATATAAGTATTTCTGGTATATGCGATACTTTTAGGTAACTGCTATTAATGTTATAATGACTTTAGTAATTTTCAATAACCGGGAGATAAAACTTTATCTATTATCATGTTCGCGGTTTCGTAAAAGATCGAAACAGTTAAGTTGGTGATGCAAAATTTCAAACTACATAATTTTTATTGAACAGAAATCTTTGATGCTCCACTCCAAAAGCCTACTAAGAGTTAGTGGTTCGTTACCGCTAGCATCGTATCCAGGTACGGAGCAAAGTAGTGCTGGCGTAGTGGCGTTAAGTTGCGTTTCTGTGATGGCGGCTAGATCAAACTCTGTCTCTGCTTTAGCCATAAAGCCGTTGCCCAGTACTGCGGCCACGAGTTGTGCCGCTGCCGCTATCACTCGATCGGGGCGGAATGCCTGTACAGAACACTTGTTTTAGTGGGATTTAAAAAAATAGGTTTACGTTATATGTTATAGTTTATCACGTACACAAATATAATTTTCATCAGAGTTATTCACTTAAATGTTGAAAAGTATTAAAACAATTGAATAAATTATTTACGGAGACCATGTGATAGTAATATACCCTACGTGCCGGTGACTGCATTCGTGAGAATTAAAATAATATGTTTGTTTTTAAGTTTTATTAAATGTCAGAATGTTTCACCACCATGATATTCAATTATTTTTTGTGAAATTACTTCACTAGTTTGTTATAATTATTAAACAAAGATTGTACTTGAACACTTAGAAAAAAATCACTTCGATCCGGCTGAATTCGAACCAACGTTTCCCATCAAACCGTGGTAGACGCTATGCTAGCTAAGCCACGGAACGAACCAACGGACCGCACGAACTTTTCCATGAGTTTGTTGTAGATCTTTTTTTGTTTTTTAACGACTTTTTTGCCGTAGCGCCATCTGTGAGAAATCTATGAAAGGTTTTCTTCACTCAGGGACGTACCTTACATTTGAATACGTGATTTGTTAATATTATATAATAGTTTCTCCAAATGTGTTGAGTCCTTTCGACAAGACTGGTGTCAGAGGTATAATAATTATGTCAAATACCTGTATAAGGAGTAAACGGTACATAGCGAGCGTATGTGCCGCAGGCGGCGACGCAGGCTCAGAGTCCCATAACGTCGGCACGCACTGCTCGGGTGCTGCTTGTGCCAACCATGCCGATAGTTCGGGTAGTTCCGCTGCCTTTTCTAATAGACGACGGAATGCCACCAACCTATGTACCAATAAAACATATGAGCAAATGGTAACAAAAGCTAACAAAACGAGTCGTCATAACCGTAATTTAACTTAGGAACCTTGATATCTTCGTCAATCAGTCTGTCTGTCAACCTTTTTACTAGCTAGTTTATGCATAAATGGCATTAATCTAGTGTGAAAACATACAATGACCTAAAGACAAATGGGAAAAGAAATATTTTTCGAGACCTCCTCGCAAACGATGGCACATAAAAATAACTTCATTTGTCTATATGGGCGTCACTCATTTCACTTCTAATGTTTGAAAAAAATGAAATAAAACAAGATACAGGCCTACCGCTTAACTGAGTTGGTCCCTGAGGTAGCTGCGCGGTGCGGGAGGAGTGACAGTTTACGCAACAGTTATGTCGTGCTGCACATGGGATAGTTTCAACAAAATTTTTCTGACGATATGAAATTATTGTTTTTTGAAACGATAATTAAAACAAAATATTACATTGATAATTGAAAAGAACTGACAAGCCATTTGGCACTATTTTCAATAAACTTGACATTGAATATCGTTAGAAAAATCTTGTTGAAACTATCCCTTGTGCAGCGCGACATAATTGTTACGTAAACTGTCACTCCTCCCGCACCGCACAGCTACCTCAGGGACCGACTCAGTCAAGCGGTAGGCCAGTAGTTATCTTGTGTTTTTACTTTCTCATAATGAGTGGCCTTGTGAAATAGATCCGAAATGCCATGAAATAATATCTATTGCATATGACATATGCAATAGATATTTTAGAATTAATAGATCCTTTTTAGCAAATGAAAGAGATTCAATCAAATAATTAAAAAAAAAAATTAATATCACAGAACCTAGAGCTCAATCTTGCGGCGGCTTGATGTTGTTGAGAGGTCAGAGCCTCATGTGGCGTTGTATGTGAGACGAAACCTTCCTTTCCTCGTAAGAACACTGCAAATTGCTGGTCCAGTATGTCTTCGGCACCGGTGCCTTTGAGGTGGATGCGGCAGAGTAGTAGAGCGAAGGTCAGGCGATCTGTGTGCAGCATGCCTCGGGCTACGCGCTCGTATACCGCCTGATGAACGAAAATTGTGTATATTAACATGTGTACAAGTTATTTGTAAAATATTAACAATTTCGCAGGACTATAAATAATACCACAGACAAAACTGCCCACGTAACGAAAAAAGGCACAACTATGCGTACTTTATATGACAGTTGTGCCCTTTTTCATTCCGAGGGCAGAAAAATCATTAGTACCATAACAAAAATACAGCCATGACTTCATGACGTTTAATAATTCATCAGATTTTACTTTCGTATAAAACAAAAATATTTCAATAGATTGCTCTCAGCGATGATAACTCTGTGCGGTAAAAAAAGAAAGTGCTAGCGTAAATACCATCTAAAGCAAAACACTGGAGGAGGAGGACGCTTGCAAGTTTGAACTAACAGATTTAAAAGTACAACATAAACTTAGTTCATTATTGGTAAATTTATTGTTTTGTGAAAAAGGATGGACCAAAAGTTGTTGTTTATGATGTTAATAACATAATCTTGCGTGGTTCCCAAATAACCCTGTATACAGTAGAACATCGGTAATAAATTATTCAGTTATTTTTACAATGAATTCGATAGGTGGACTGACTTAGTTCTTTTTTAATGACTCACTTACTTTTCTGAAACGAAAGTTGTCATATTTACAGACGATTCTGTGGCACCAAATAGTCAAGCAATAAAAAAATGCCCTAAGCTATATTTTAAAGTGCAAATAGAATCTAATAACTTTACCTAAAATCCTGACAAAAATATCAATTGAATTGTAATGTACTCACGGTGAACAACTCTTCAGTGATAATACCAAGACGAGCAGTATAATCACTGACCGCGTTGAGGCCGGAGCTAACCAGCACCGAGCTGAAGATGTCCAGGAACATCTTGAGCGAGTATTGGTACAAGAAGTGCACCTGGTTCAGCGACTCCATAGTGAAGTAGATGCTGCTGCATGCCTGTTTAGAGGTACATAAAATGGACAACAATATTACTATTCATATTTATTGAATATCATAAAGTTTTACTACCATGATATTCGTATTTTTAATTACTCCATTAGTTTGTTATAATTGTTAATATAAAGATCGAACACAAAAAAGTGGTCCCAGTTTGGCATACAGACGCAGGTTTGAGTCCGGTGAGATCGAAGGAAGTTTTCTCTGTATTCGATTTTAGTATTAACCATTATTATTATAAGTGCAAAAGTACAGTAAAAAAAAGCACGTCAATATACACTTTTGTGCGTATATCGCCCCCAGAGCTACGGAGCAAGATCTGTCAATGTGTAGCTTGATATACTGCCGTTCGAATTTGGAAAAAAGAGACCTGGAGCACCAAAATAATAAATGGATCGTCATCCATTTATTATTTTAATGCTCCAAAAAAAAAGACGAATTTGATGGGATTCTTACTTGAGAGAGCGGCAGGTACTGCTGGCTGACAGTTTCAATTTCTGCAATAACTTTGTCCGTTTCTTCCACCTGAAAACAACAATATGAATCAAATCGTTACAAGTCCAAAACACAAACTAGCACTTGGTTAACTCAAGTGTAATATTTTAGTTACCTTTTGTCCAATATCGTCGGCTTCTTTCTTAAGGGTTTCTAGAGTAGCGATGACAGAATCGTCGTCAAGGATCTTTCCTTTCGCGTCGTTCAATGCTTGCAGTAGAGACTTTTCCAGTTGACGCAGGCGGAGGTGGAATTCACCTGGACAAATAAAATTACACTGAATGCACTCCGCTCAAACTTAAGAGGACCATGGAAATTTTGTACAATTTTTGTAGACATATTGATATGAATTTGTGTAGTATTTATTTCTGTGCTTTAGCAAATAAGAACAAACCTTGCAATTTAAGAAGATCGGAGCGTTTAGTGTCAATATCAGGTCGTTCAGCCTTTAGCACGCGGTGCAAGCACTGCGACTGTAGAGACGAGCGCGTCACGGTGAAATTGACGAACGTCACTCGTGAGCACATGTCTGGAGGGAATTCTACAGTGGGGTCCCTGTAAAGAGAAAACAAATAATTCATTTATTGTTCTATTCTATCAGACCCATCTGACTATCTGGACAATAAGGTACGTGGTAAGATATGAGCAGGTGATGCGTACGCACATATAAAATACGCCGTGTCCATAGGCTTTTAGTAGAAGATGTGGAATGTTGCTGTTAATAACGTTCAATGTAATCAAGTCCAAGAATTATTGTTTTGTTTAATTTTTCGATTGCTTTGCACCAAGCTTATTGTGTAATACTAAATCACTAAAAATAACACAAAGAAAAGTTCCTTCGATTAGACTGGACTCCTATCAGCGTCGGTTGCCACACCTGGGCCACCTCTTACCAACTGAGCTTGACAGAACGTGTCAGATTCGGTTGATGGGTTGTTAGGTCTTTTTATCAATAACAAACTAGTGGAGTCTTTTCGCAAAAAAATATTTGAATATCCTGGTAGAAAAACATGATATTGATTAAAATAAATAAATTTCTTTGTTGGAGTCTCACCAATTAATGATAAGAATAAGACCATTTAAATAATGTATTGTCGTATGAAGAAACATTATTATAATGAAGCCTTGTAAAAGTAAAAGTAAAGTGTTCAAACTTAGGTATTGAGCATAAGTAAATGTCGAATGTAAGACTAGTCGGTATGGCGCATCCCACGGGAAGAGAGCGGGGCCTGAAGGGGCCCGCTTATATATACTCTACGATGTTCGCGGGAGGCAGGGCAGCTCACCCCATCCGACGCGGCGTTCAGCGCGGACAGATAATAATAAACGTTACAGACTTTAGCGCACAATTTTTTAACTGTTTACTACTAACCTAGTACTTAGGAAGATGACGAAGGATGGACTTAGATCGATGTCCTGATCGCCAAGAGTGATGAGCACGCGGCCACCAGTACGACGGAGCTCGCGATTCAACACAGGGTTCAGGATTGGGTCGTAGTTTTCCACGTCCTGTAAATAAGCATTTATTGTTACTATAAGGTATTGGCGGACCAGATTTTTATTTAATATGACTTAATAGACACACGTTTACTTATCAAAGACATTAAATATACCTTCTATGTAGATAATGATTGTTTGGCCAAATGGAAAACATCTGACTATTCTGTTTATGTACTGGAAATAGAGTATAAATTATAAACTGAACAATCGTAGCAGTTTTATATTTTGTAACTATATTGGCAACTCTCAACATTTTAATCCTCTTATAAAAGATTTTATATAAAAACAATACAATAATGATCTCACCTGTACAAGAAGCGGGTTACCGAACCGCAGTGCAGACTCAAGGTTCTTTCTGAAGGAGTCGTCCAGGAAGGATGTCTTCGTTATCTTGCGCTCCTTAAACTCGCGCATTATGAACTCTGTGGCTTGACCTGACGGATCGATGATCAAGGGGTAGCGGTTGAAACGCTGCAATAATAACAATTGTCAATTTTTCCTTAAAACCTATATCCGTACGTAGATGTATGGAGATACGAAGAAATATTTCGTACTCGTCAACGTGAAAGTTGTTAATTTTCACGAGAAAATAATGAACATTAACAAATGGGTGTCATATTGTCATTACTATAAAATAATACATATAGGTACTCATTTGTTGAACAATATTTTATTACAGTTTCAACACAATAAGAACCGAGTCTCAGAGCACACGATATTGTAACATTAGTAGTATCTAGTAGCGTAGATATAATTTTAATTAATTTAATATAAAGCCTACCTTCAGCATAATAGCATTCTCGACACACAGTTCGTCAGAAGGCAAAGCGTTAGCTTGCCAACGCAGTCTCTCGTCGGGGTTGCTCAAGTATTCCGTACGAGCAATATCCGCGCGGTATTTGATGCTGGCCGCCGCTAGGTGATTCGTCCATGTTGAGAATAGGTTTTGACGATACTGGAAAATAAACAAGATTATTCATGAAAGGCTAGTGTTTGTTCTTGTTTCGAATCACTGCAAGCGGCCCAAAAACTTGCGTGGTTGCATTAAGAAGACGATGCTTGTTACTTTTTAACCGACTTCAAAAAAGGAGGAGGTTCTCAATTGGACTGCTTTTTTGTATGTATGTTACGTGATAATTTCGATAATTTGTGAATCAATTTTGATGATTCTTTTGTTGGGTAGAGGGTAAATCAGTAGTGGTCCCATTTAAATTTGAAGAAAATATTCTACCTCTAAGGGTGGCAAACAAGGGGATGAATCCGGTTTCGTGCACTTTTCGGTAACCGATTTCAATAAACTTGGCAAATAGATGTAATTCCACAAACTTTTGAGGTCGGTTCTTTTAGTACTCTGTACTGAGATTATTGTTATAATTTGTCCACGGCATGGGATTGACAATGTCTTTGCCATTAAACACTTTGTCAAAGCAAACATATATTGCAACAAATATGTGCCTTACGTGCTGGTCAAAGTATCCGCCGTATGCGATGAATGCAGCCGACAATAACACATCGCCGACAATGGTGCTCATTTGCGAGCGGAAGGTCTCCGAGCTAGCCTCCCAACGTTCGCGCTCTATCACCAAACTCTTCAATAGTGCGATTGATCTGTCCACCTGAAGATAATAGTAAAAAAATATTATGAATAATGTTTCACGAGCAATTTTAGCTAAAATAATATTGAACTGGCAGTAAACTTGAGCACTTGGTGAGAGATGTCAGTGAAAAATCACATCAATCAACCAATCATTTACCTTGGCTTGGACATTTTCAAGGTCAGTCTTAATAGCCTGTGCTTGGCTGATCAACTGCGCGTATTCTTCCTTGTAAGAGGCGATAGATTTCTCCAATTGCGCTATTAGTTCTCTCACTTCATCGCCTGCAGTTACATTGGTTTGAGCTTGGTCTTCGAGGGCTTTGAGTTCGTTGCGGAGAGGTTCCACACGTTTCAACATGTCCGCGTATTCGATCTATAAAGTTATAAACATCATTAATTACATTGAATGTTGCTGAAGGTACATTACATTTGTACGCGGAGACGCTTATGAACTCCACAGGCCACATCGTAACGATGGCGGAGTGCCGAGGCCTGAATTTAAACTTGTAATCATACAAACGTAATTAACGCGTTTGCGTTAAGATTTTTATTTCGATCTCAATAATATATTTATATGGTTTAAATTAAAATCTTAACGCAAACGCGATAGTTAAGTTTACATATTTGAAAACTTACACCCAGGCCCCTGTTTTATAAATAAACTTTCCTTCGAAATGATAAAACAACGTCTCCTTGTTTAGTAAACGACATAAGACTTACCTGAGCGATAGCCCATTTGACCATAGGGCCGCAAGCCATACTAGCCCTGTTAACCTTCTCGAAGTTGTAATCTGGGTTGCTCAAATAGCGAGTCCGCATTTTCTCGCGTACGTCATCACTGAATGCATAAAACATTTAAAGAAAGGAGATTAAAAATATATAATAGCACTTTACCACAATGCACCCATCCCATACTTTGCACGATACCTTATCTCACAAAATGACCAAAACATGTCTTTTATACGTACAAACATTGTACCCCAATATCGAACACGGTAAGAAACAAATAGCACAATCTTAAAGTGATTTTAGGTGTTTTTCGTGCATTCCCATTATAAACTAATTGGTTGCACTCTGGATTTCTTTCATGCATTTTCCGTATTCCGAACCAATAATAAAAAGACATCACTTACCCAATAACTTTTAAAGATATGTATTTGTTTAAAAAGACAAGACAATTAGATAGCAAACAAACAAAAAATAAAACACAATTTATAAGCCAATGAAACGTAGCTAGGAAACTCGACGATTTTGTCGATGAACATTATTTATTGGCAAACACATTCATGCACCCTACATTTGATGGTTGTTTTTGAGGCAATCAGTGACTTAAGTCTTTTACTAATTTTAGAATAATTTAGTAAAAAGATGTTTTTATTGCCTGGAAATGGTATTTAAAGAATATTTTGGGAGTTGGTCGGTCGCTACAAAATTCCATGAAGAACTGATGTGTTACTTTCACTTATAAAAAAAGACCCAGTTATTTCAGGCCACGATACATATACAAATAAATAAATTTATACGACCAAAATTTTTAATAAGAAATGTAAATGTTAATGGCTAAATCCAATTCGTAGTACCACTTTCACTTTGTAATTTATTTTGTTAATCACCACCACCAAAAAAAGTTGTACTGTTACTAATATTGTCTTACTCTTGTACCCTGAAATAGACAAGGAGATAAGATGCCAGAGTAAGTACGTACAATACACCGTGCCAAAGCATGCTGCAAGCATTGAAAAGTGCAAGACATACACAAAGGAATAAAAAAATGAGTCTTGGTCAGAACTCTTTCTAGCAAATTTTTAATTGTCTAATGGCGTATGGCACTTAGGGACGATCACTACAAATCTTTCAACAGACTATAACAATATGGTATAGACGACAAATTGTACTGAGCCAAAGATACGCTATCTATTACACGGTATAGATTTGGTTTTATTATTTGGAAGATCTGACCAAACATCTTAAACCTAGGCACCACCACAGAGTCAAGACGAAGCTTTTCTCACGTTATGTCCTCGGTGGAGAAGTTGGACACGATGCTGTTGATGAAGTTTTCCCTCATGATGACCGCTCGAATCGCCTTCCAATCCGTCGCATTTTCTCCGAGAAGCAGGCAGATGGATTCCAAGGCCACCTTCACTATAGCCGGTGGATTGCCCATAGATCGCACTTCGACCAAGTGCTGCTTCTTTATAGATTTGACGGCTGCATTGTCCAGTCACCAGCACGAAGCGAGAGCGAAAGTACAAAAGGAAAGAAACAAAAAAAGGCGTTTAGCTTCTGTGACGCATGCGGCTGGCGTTATTTCCAATTATTAATTTTGAATCTGGGTTCTCTTCGGTCGCTCTCCAGTAGCTGTGGTAAATGGATTGAAATCTTATTAAATTATGAATAATTACAAAAACCTTTTGTCCGATGGTTATAACAAAAATGTTAAACAAAAGGATTACTGCGCGCGATTCCAATCCACTTAAATTGAGCTCGATAAAGAACGGCAAATCAATGAATTTAATTAACATTAGCTGTAACAGAAACGGTAAATATTCGTGTCACAAATGTTAAAACGATTGTTAAGTTTCACGACGATGCTTAGCGTTGTTAGTCACATAACGATGGATTATTTGTGTCTTACACAGATGCCATTTCACAGTATATATGAGTGATTGTTATTCATAGCTATTTGATTTTTAGATTCGATAGAGCTTGTAGAGATTTAGGTTATTTCGGTATCACATATTTAATAACAATTTAAAACGATACATTCATGTTATGAACTTTTTATCGCATCAAGTTTTCTACAATAGCTATGAACGTATACCCCACTCGAGTTATTGATATTAATAACAACAGTCACATATGCAAGCAGGCTTAGCTTATATACAAAATAATCATATAATAATTTTATTTTCAAACCTTAATTTAAGAAAAGTAAAGAACAACACTTACACTAGTCTACAAGTTACAAGAAAGATGCTTATAAAAAGTGACAAAATATTCGATACAACAATATTCAATGCATCATCATTCCGTAATACAATAACTAATTAATGTTTTTGCCAATAAATACACATTTTTAAAAATAAGTAACATAATTGCTTGCTATCAAAAATTACTTTAATTAAACATTCTTTACACTGATTTGAATTAAGAAGTAGAAAAAAGAGAAATGTCGTTGTATTTTTAGATCATGTCAGAAAATTACTATAAATCTGGCAACACTTATGCCAAACAAGTAACGTCAGACTTGTCAGGAATTTATTTCTTCATGTTTTGCTTTTTTAAAACAAATATAAGTATTAATCAAATTCAACATAAATGTCGAAGTAAAAGTCATAAATAATAAAAAAAAACCCCAACCTAAAAGACAACGACGTATCTCTTTGATTAATAAACAGAACACTAACGTGATATTCTCAGTTTCGAAGTTAACAATAGTCGAAATGAAGTTGTCCTTCATCACGGCAGACCGTATACCCTTCCACGTATCCGCCTTTTCTCCGAGAAGTATGCAGATTGATTCCAAGGCCATCTTGACAACAGATGGTGGGTTCGCCATCGATCTCACTTCGACAAGTTGTTGCTTCTTGATTGAACGCACGGCTGTGGTATTTCTTGACGTTTAATACTAGTTATCGATGTCAGAAATAAGATAGGTTGGGACTCGAATACTCGAATAAACATTGCTAAGGGACGAAATACTGGTGGTAAATTCTGACAGCTAAAATATTTATATTTGAATCTTATCCAATTTCTGACTTCGATGTTTATTGTTCGTTTTTTGTCGACTTCATAGACTGTTCAGAAAAAGACGCTTGAATAGTATAATAATAATGCCTCCATTTAAGAGAAATGCTCAAACAAGACTCTATTTCCACTTACGTCGCTTTGTAATATATATTGAAGTTTTTTATTACGTCAAAAAACTATTTAATTCTAAATAATGTTTCTACGAACATCTGAATACAATTTGTAACAAATTTCAGTTCAAAAGGCATCTTTCTAATGTGACTGAATTGAAATAATGAAACGATGTTAGATCGAACTACGTGTGATAGGCCTTGGTCTTATAATAGGTTTTACGATCAACATGAAAATGGTTACCAAAGTTATAAATCATGATTATTTCCACTATACTTTTCGTATATTAGTTTTATACGTAGAAAAAAAAATCATCATTGTCACAAAACGGGACTCCGTTTTAAATTCAGAATAATTTATACCTAGAACTTTTAAATTTTAAGTATTAAAGGTATATTTTCAAAATCTCTATCACATAGTTTCCATAAAAATCAAGTTTTACATTGGATTTTTTCTCAAGTTATCTTGTCATACGAAAAGTAAAGTTTATCACGAATAATGAATATGGTACTAAATGACATGACACTAAAATAACAAAATAAATTTAAAACCAAACCGTTTTGCGCCTCAATTACAGCGGGCTCGACCTGCGCTAAGTCCGCCATTACGTCTTTGTGTTTTGCCTCTATCTCCTTCGTTTGCTTTTCAAGAGCGACCTGATTTCATAATCGTATTTAGTAAAATATTTTATTAAAACAAAAATATACATAAAAGGCTGGGTACATTTAAATACTTAGAAGCGATCAATAATATAATCAGATGTGTGTAACTTTTATAACCAATGCGATAATTACATCTGACAAAAAATTACAAAGATTTGCAAGAAATATTCAATGTACAAAAAATTATACTTTCATTAAATTTAAATATTGAGATAACACTAGCACTTGATTACTAAAATAATGATGTGTCTAACCTGAATCTCCTGGCTTTCAACTTTCTTCTTTTCAGCCTCCTGTTGGTCTTTCACCATCTGACGAAGCTTGGCGTTAGCGGCCTCGTTCTTAGCTTGGAGTTCCTACAACATTCGACTAACAAATTAGCATAAATAAAATTAACACTTTCACTAACAAACAAATTTTAATAGGTTTTGCACAGGTAGCTCTTCGGTAAAGTCGTTAAAATCTAAAAACAAAGATCTGCAAGAAATGCGTAAGGTTTGCTGACTCGTACCAAAGCTCAGTCGGGAGAGCGATGTATCAATAATAATATGAAACTAGTGGAATGCTTTCATAAAAAAATATATGAATATCATGGTAAAAACATCATGATATTCAATAAAATATGTAAAATAAAACTTGTTTATTACGAATTAAACACCAATAAAAAACAATTTTGCGCTTACGGCAGTCTCATTGTAATTGTTTCAATGTTCACTTGTTCGAATTTTGACAGATCTGGTAAATACAAAATATTAATAAAACATGTAGAAATAAAAAAAATCGTATGCTCCCCAACCTGTGATCCTAAAATTCAGAGTAATTCCAGATAATATCCTAACACCAGACCGGCTTACAAGCTACACGATTAGGATGAAAGTTACGTTAAGGTGTTTTAATACCTGAGACTTGACAGCAAGACTCTTCTGCATTTCCTCAACCTGTTCAACGGTCTCTGCGATTTTGCCCAAACCGACGTTCAAGTGTAGTTGCTGTTCCTCCAAGTCGGCGCGCTTCTCTGCGTACAGCTTCACCATTTGCTGAATGAAATCTAGATAGTGCCTGAAATAGTTTTTTGTATATTAGCACGGTCTGATTAGTTTTTTTTTAACAAGAGACGGGACGAATTAGTCGTGTACCTAATGGTAAGCTACACGCCTGTCCATTAAAGTTGTAGAGCCACTCAGAGCTTTAAATCGTACAGATCTGAGGGACTGGCGGAGTGCCTCTGCGCCCGTCACCCTGAGACATAAGTTGACAAGTCCCATGTGTTGTAAAATCACCAACACCCTTGCCCTTCAAAACCAAAACACAGCAATGCGGAGATTACTGCTTGGCGGCAGACATAGGTAAGGTGGCAGTACTTCCCTGGACGAACTCTTTCACAAGGAGGTCTACTGCTACTAATTAATAAAGCATGTAAGTTAAAATATTGTCGGTGTCAAAAAGGCTAGGAATGTGTTGGCTGTCTAAAGACTCATGTAACACACTTACCTAGGTGTAATAGCCATGGTCCTATTGGCCCTTTTAGCGAGTCTCGCATTAGCACGATGCAGCGTCTGGTGTACATACACACAGGCGTTTACAACCGCCTCGCGGTGGGAAGGCCGGGCGCCCACTTCTCCACATGCGGCGGGGAATATTTCCGGTGGAACGTAGTCAGCTGAGTCTAGGTCCATACGTGTTGTAAACTCTTTGCCCACCTGGAAGAAATTGGGGATATTTACGATAGAGCATAATTCGATTTATTTTTTAAATTTAGTAAACATTCGACAGGTAATTATTGAATAAAGAAGACGCTACATTGTTTAAGAAATAACTCAATATAACAGTAATAAGTATTTATTATATATATATAAAATACTTATAAATGAAACTAAAAAAAACTGTTATTTGGTATTATTTGACTTTAAAAATCGCGACTTGATTGTGTATTAAAATATTTTACCTCGACGTTTATAATGTGTGAAAATCGTGAAAGTTTAAATCAATCGTATTTGGTAAGCGTAAGAGCGGTTACACATGGCATCGGCGTTACACGTTGCATCACTACAATTTATAAGCGATTGCATCGATGCAAACGCGCGAATGCAATCGCAAGTGTAGCGACGCAATCGAATGCGCGTTTGCGTCGCTGCTAAAAGTCGCCGTGTGTGTGCACTCAAGATTTATTCGTTTTTTAATCATACGACGCAGATTGCGTTTATGTTGGTGAAAGTTGAATGGGTAATATATTATTTAATAATAAACAACTGTTAAAAACTGTAAAAAAATCTAATACATATTTAGGTGTAACCATTACGCATAACTAACTCACTTGGAATAAAGCACCATCGCTCCAGTCCCCGAACCAGTTAAGCACACAGCGATTAAACAGTGCCGGTGAGGTTGCTGCACGGTCTTTCAGGCCCTCGGATGAGGGGTTCATTGTGAACACTACGTGCAGGTTGCGCATTACTTGACCTGTGAACCTGTTGGGGGAATTCAGTATAGCATTCATCAAGTGATATGGTATATAGTCAAACGTAACATACGCTTTTATTTTACATTAAAAAAAGATGCTAAGACTTTATGATTTGACTGTGATATCTTGGTGTTGTAATGTCTATAATGCAAGTCATTATAGCTTGTTGAAAATCTTCAATGAGATCGAAGTTCCAATCGATTAAGTATGCGATCAAATTACTGAATTTGCGAAATGGAAAAAGCTCATTAATTATGTAGGTAGTGTACTTTTGACAACTTCGTTGGGCCAGCGGATTAGGACTTTGAGCGATGCACAAAAAACAAAAAACAGTGCTGGGTGTTCCGAGTATTGCCCCCAAAGCATATTTAGTTACCGCGGTACTCATAGTAAGGGGATTACCAAGTTTGAAGCCAGGTAGTTGGTGTGAATGTTTGACACAGTAAGTTACATTAATTTTTCATTTGTCTCATTGCCTGATACTGTCTCTCAACATTGGTTCTGAACAATATTTTTCAATTCCAATAATTTGGAAAAAGTTTATACAAAAACTAACTTCATTTCCATAAACTTTAAATATATCTACATACCATTTGTACAACTCGTCGTTCGAATCCAACATAAGGCCTTCTCGTTGAGCGCCTTCCTTGCATTGAGTCATTAGGGTTGCGAATTCGTCTCCCTCGAAAAGACCAGGTACCTAAAATGGTGCAAATCTTATCACACTTTGTGCAGCGGCAATTAAGAAATCTATACTGTTATTGTACTGTAAAAAAGATATAAACATAACTATAAACATTTCTACAAACCTCGCCGTTAGCTAATAGGGTATTCATTCTCTCAAGGAAACCACTGTCCAGCACGTTGGACTCGTCGAGAATAAAGGCGACTTTCTCGTCGCGGCAGCCGGCGCGGCGTAGAACGGAACGCAAGTCTTCATCAAAATCTGCACCAGTGTACTTGTTGTGAACCTAGTGACACAGATATGCATTTTTAAGTCTAAACTGATATAAGCGTCCAATAGTAGTATAATGTTAAAGTACTTATACGTACTATATTATTTATATTCAGAGTATTTTAATTGGACCGCACGGTAACCGTCCGGCCACCGAGGCTTTGTATTTGTATTTTGTACGAATGCAGAAAATGAATATTCACAAAGCTGCTATAAAACATCATAGTTTTAACAATATAATGGAGCAAATGGAGTAATAACGCACACACTCAACATAGCCCCGCACTATGCAAACCCTGTGTCGCGGGTTGGATGGACACACGCATAGACAACCACAAATTACACCCAAACTCACGAGAGAAATAAATGTAGGCCATACAAATATTTCTCCCATCCCGAGAATCGAACCTCGGACCTCTAAGTGGCTCTGAGTAAAATTGTAATAATATTAACATTATATAAACTTACTTTAAGCGTGTCATAGTACGAAAGGTCAATGTAAGGTTAAAGCAATATTGTTTTAAGAGGTTGTGGTAGGCCTCCAGGACTCCGGGCCATCCTCTGAAGGCCTTAGCTTGCTCCCTGTGGCCCATCCGCCGAGATTCACAGTAGTATGTGCAGTAGCAAGCCCAACCTGTGGCGTCTCTCTATGGCGGTGGCTTAACCGCTGGGTTTTAATGGGTATACAGGGCCATCGCCTGGGAATCCCACATAACCGCTCGCTATTCCGCCGAGGCGAGTGGTATGCGTAACGCATTTCCCAGCGTTAAAAATAAAGGCCATCCAGGACCACACATTGGAGGACAAATATTATTGGAGATGTTTATGTTATAGACTTGAGCCATTATGACATTGCTTGCTTACCTTAATCTGGAAGATGCTCAGCCCATTCATCCAAGCAACAAAACGACTGAGCGTGGTCTTTCCAGCACCTGACACTCCGATAAGCAGCAAGTGGCCCTGCGGCTGTCTGAATATACGGTCGATACGCAATACGTGGTCTAAAACTTCATCGAACAACACTAGAGGCACGTCTAACTCTTCTTCGTAGAACACCTATAAAGAAACCAGGTGTGTCCCAATTTATAATGGTGTCTTTTTCGTCTCAATGGGGAATAAAAGACAAAGCAATATTTTGAATCTTTGAGATGAAATCGACAAATCGTCATATGTGAGTGATTAGTTGCTGTACAAGTTTTATTACAGAATTTTAGTTTATGAACGCTTAGTAATGTGGTACTATAAAATAATTCAAAACCGCCTATGACATTGTGATTTTCCTCATTATTGTAAGACTGAAATATAAGGCTTGCTAATAATTTCTGTACTACAAATACATAAGCAATTAATTGATTCATCCATCAAACGGTAACTTTTTTAAGACTTTAGATTTAAATATAATGCATAGTGTTCCTAATTTTATTTCGCCATAATGCGTAAAAGACATTGGTATTTTGTTAAATGAGATTTAAGCCAATCGACCAATAGTACTGTAAGGACAGTATGTACTGCATGTTACTTTATGAGCAAAGAAAATTTTTACCATAACGATGTAACACATTTTAATGGTAAGGTTTATACTAAATAAAGAAACATTTTATTTATTTTTTAATTCTTACCTTGAGTCTAGCTTTGACGTACTCGCGAAGTTGATCTCTTAGTACTGGCACATAGTCCTTACTCAGCCAGTTGCTGTATAGAATAGGACGACCGAGTGCTTGTTCCCTATTTATTCCTGAAATAAAGATTCAGTTTTTTAAACTCAAAATCCACCAGTTGACTGAATACACATAAGTCTTCATAATTGCATCCCTTTAACAAAATTTTATTGGTTGCGAAAAATATACACACATTTTCCATAGTATAATGTCCTACGGGATTCTCATGTGCGGTAAAGCGGCAGACATACAAACCATATTTGTGTTGCAAAAACGAGCGATTCATTCTGTTGTACCATTTAGTTAGGTTCTTGGATTTCTCTCAGAGAAAACTTTAAGGAGACTGGTATCATGACTGTGGTATCATCACAGTACATTTTCCCAAATATTTTCGTTAAGAAAAAAGATATCCATAATATTAACCTTAGAACTAAGTCCAAACTCATGGTACCACGATTTCGTTTAACTAAGTAAGGTAAAATATTCTTTCTTAACTGTGTACATTTTTACAATACAATCCCGGAGCATATGTTAAGATTACCATTTTCTAAGTTTACAACTTACATTAAAAGTATTTTGATTGAAAAGTCACATTACAAAATTGTAGTTTCCTGTATCTAACTATTAATATATATTATAAATTAATAATAATTAAATTATTATCTAACTACGTGTTAGATAAAGATGTATGGAAAGACAACGTGATTCCACATGAATATGATTCAAAATGTATTCTATAGCATTTAAGTTTATATGAAAAGAGCAATCCCTAGTTTGTTGCTTGTTCTGCTCAGGGAGGTCAGCGTAGTGAACGAGCATTAGCTTAAAAAAATGACGTTTTCAAATGTAAAAATTGTACTTATGGAATAAATGATTATTTGACTTCGGGAATTTAAAGAATGATGTGGCGGTTATGGTTAAATTACCTGGGAAGAATCTCATAGCGACAGTGTCGATGTTCTCATCAGTCCATTGTCTTTCCGAGTCGTCAACTAAACGGTCCTGGAAGAGGCGGAGCCCTTCGTGCGCCCATAGTCGCACTAATCCTTCTACATTTAGGTTGTCCAGCGGCCTGCACAGATGAATTGAATTATTTCAATGTGATGTATTTACCCTATGTCTCACTACAGGGAGTCGGGAATCTTTCTTAACAGCGTTATAATAACTCTATCTTAGCAGGGATTGAGGATATCACATTATACAAATAGTTTTTTAAGTATTGTTTAGCATGCAGGTATTCAATTACGAATTCCTAAAAAAAATTACTCCCAGCATTTGTATTAAGGTGGAGACTGACCGGATCATTTAAGCGTAACGTAACACGTTACGATGTGAGCATTCGTATAGTCAGTACAGCGAGCCGACCCAATTGCAGGAGCGACGCGCGTTCCACTCGGTTGTCGGCTTTTTGACGAATCCCTTTGAGTGTTAGATTTCAATTTGTTGTGGTCACGATTTATACATTTGGTTTTTTCATATATTTATCAACGGTAAGCTATCTACCATTCATCAACCATCATGTTTCGGGTTTTGTACCAGTTTGAATTTTGTTATAATTGTGTAAAACCACAAAACCAACAATTACGACTTCGTCATCCGACATTTCGACTGCGAATGCCACCGGGAGCACGGCCAAGCGCCGAGTTCGAAACAAGCAATGATACCGGTCAGTAACGTAACATACTCGCTGCGAACGTTACGATAAAATTTGTCGGTCAGTCGCCACCTCTCCGTTTGTAAAGGTTACGGAGATTTCTTACCTAATAGCTTCACAAATACCGCGCACCCATCGCGTCATCTCACGAGGTGAATACACGTAATGAGGCTGCATATCCTGAGTAAAGCGTTCTTGCGACGCTAGATACAGTTTCACCATGGCTTGGGTTAGAGGTTCTGCGTAGCCGCGTAGGGATGGTTGCATACGTAGCATGGCCCGAGTGAATGTGCCATAGATCTAAAAGTAATACAGGTAAATACTGTTAACTTTCGTCAATTTGGTGTTTTCTTTTTCTCTATTTTATTAGCGCTGAGCGTTTGTGCTCCCGAACTACCTCGTACCAGTACGGCTAGCAAAATAGGACGCGACTTGCGGGAGAGCGACATAAAGCGCGAGATACTGCAATGCTCGCACAGCACGTCGCGCCCTGTCGTGTTAGTCCCACTGAACATCGTATCCACGCAGAAGGCTTAATGTTATAAAAAAAGAAATTTTCAGAAAGTAACAAAGATAAGCAGAGTATTTTTACTTTGAAAATGAGATTATTTTTTCAGATCTATCTCGCGTATACTTGTTTTATACAACAAACCAACGTTTTAGGTCTTTACAGCTACCATGGACACGGTTAACAATGTCTCTAATATGTAGCAATCGCGTAAACTTGAGAACTTGCAATATTTTTACCTGTTCCAGTGAGGTTTCTCCAGGGTAATCGACATATATGACAGGCACGTGTCTTAGCAATCTGTGCGAGAGAGGCTTGCGGCCTGGGTCGGTGGGCGGGTTACATGCACCCACAAATTGAATACGCTCCAGGTGCACCCACGAGTGGTCTGAAAGTAAGGCATCGTATTGCCAACTTTATTTGTTGAAGTCAGGAATGAAATTCATGCAATTCATTTGCTTTCATATTTGCAAGACGGTCCCACCTATTCTAAATGTACACACCAAAGTTATCATGTTTGGTGAATGAACATGTATTATGTACGAAAGAGTGTACGAAAAGCCAGTTTAACCAGTTTGAATGACGAAAAGAGACGTACCACTTGCTCTAAAGAAGCCTTTATGTTCGAGCAGTTGTCTCAGGAAAGAGATAACACGTTGAGTACCGTACTGATCCATATCCGGCAAGTTGATCTCATCACAGAACAGCACTAGCCATTTGCCCAGCTACAAATAAAACATGTTATTCAAAAAATGTGTCGGTACCTTGAATGTTAGAAAGATTGATTTGTAAGTATAAGGCGTTGATCCAATAAGTATAGAAGTAAAATAAATCAAATATTAATAGTCATACCTGTACTGGAGCTAGCACGACACCGTTCGGAGTTTTTCTGTACTCGCAATAATGATCAAACGTCTTCAACAAGAGTTCAGGAGTGGTAGCAGATGAGAAATTAAGACCGACTACCTCCATGTCTGGTAAAGCTCGTAGCGCAGAGAACAAGGTCATTGTTTTACCAGACCCGGGTGGACCGCACAGCACTGTAAGGATTTAGTAGATATCTCGTATTTTGGAAGTATCATAGTGACCATTTTTCTTCAACGACTTCTATGATTCTATGGCCATGTCTATTATTATTTCAACCGCGCAATAAGGGTTAATTTTACGTTAAACTGTATTTTATAATTGAATCAAAATATTATAACGTACCAAGTGGTTTATGTTCTGCAAGCCAAGTGTAAAGTAACGCTTCGTGTCGTACTGTGTCCAAAGTAGGTACAACCACATCAGGGGCAGCTACTTTGTGGGTCTCCACTTCGATTTGAGGTACTTTGGCCGACCATGGAACCCATTCGCCAGTTATAGACACCTATGATGAGTACCCAAAAATAGAATTATTATTTGGTTAGTAATGCTGCTTTAGTATTCTTGTACATACAATTAGTTTCATTCACCATTAAAAAAATACTATTTCCTGTACTAACCTCAAAATCAATAATGTGCTGATTGGGTCCGCAGTTAGGTAGTGGCATTGTGCTAGCCGATCTAATAAAGTCTCCAAGCTCGTTGCGGTCCTGAAAGAGATATTTCTCATGAATTTATTCTACCTTAGGCCTCAACAATATGCATATCAGATTATTGCTTCGACATTTAAAGACTGGAAAGTCTTGGCAAATATACAAAATGTACCAAAGTTTTACTAATGCGTTTAATTATTACGTCAATGTCCTCCTTTGCGTTTTCAAAATACAGTAAAACGAGTAAGACATACTTTAAGTTTAGCGTCTCCGGCAAATGACCACAGTAGAGAGTATACAAGCCATTTGGGAACATAGGCTTCAAGCTGCTCATTCGTAATGGGGAAATCGGGATGTTGACGGTTGTAACCCAGGATGTTCCTGAAAATCAAGTATTAGGCAATATAGCTTCATTTTTATAGGAAATACATTGGTGCCACTTAATAGTACACTCTGCTAGTTTGGACATTAAACTTGGTAAACGTTTTTAATATACTGTTCATAACGAGGAAGTCCTTATAGATTTGAGCTCTTTCGGTTAAGGTATACGGAGTTACATGCAAAGTAAAACAAAGATGTTGGCATTTACCTAACGCCTCTATTTAGCATAGAATGCAGTGATGACAGAGCTCTGTGGCGCGTGAAGTCCATGATATGATCTAGAGTGGCGGCGTGCTCCAGGCATTTCACTACTAGACCGTCACCGAAGAATAATGGCTGCAGGATTACAGCTACATCCCGCTGAGTCTGTACCAAAAACAAATACTTAAAAAATCTATAATAAACATATAAGAGGTAATTAGAACTCTGCGAAATCTAGACGTGAATAAAGCTAGCGGGCCAGATGGAATTCCAGCAATAGTCCTGCGTAACTGTGCGCCTGATTTGTATCCTGTTCTCACGCGCATGTACCGCCTCTCACTTGAGACTGGTGTAGTTCCCAGGTCGTGGAAGATTGCAAACGTGCAACCTGTGCCGAAAAAGGGAAGCAGAGCTGACCCTGTCAACTATAGACCTATCTCAGTCACTTCCATACTCTGCAAGACTATGGAACGTGTACTCAACAACACAACCGTCTCCTAACGTACTTTGAAGAAAACGATCTCTTCAGTGATCGCCAGTACGGATTCCGATGAGGGCGATTTACTGGGGATCTTCTTGTGTATGCCTGTCACATATGGAGCGAGGCTATAGAAAAGCATGGTGAAGCACTTGCAGTGTTTTTGGACATTTGTAAAGCCTTTGACAGGGTCTGGCACGCAAGTCTTTTAAATAAGCGTCTCTCTTACGGACTTCCCACTGACCTTCGCAATTGGATCGCGGATTTATTGAGCGAACGTTCGATTCGAGTGGTCTTAGAAGGTTATTCTTCCGAACATATGGCGATAGATGCCGCCGGAGTTCCTCAGGGTTCCGTACTGCAACTCTCTTCCTGCTACATATCAATGATATGTTAATTCCAAGTACCTCTGCATATGCTGATGACAGCAAAGTTGTAGATAGGTACTTGACTAATGCAAGGGTCAGTGGAGAGGAAATCCAGTGTCCGATTGGGGCAATGCCAATCTTGTGAAATTTAACGCTACCAAAACGCAGGCGTTTCTATTCTCCATAAAACGGAGTCCCTTTGAGCAGACTTTTCGTGATATATCCATACTGACAGCCGACTGTCTCCAGCTACTTGGAGTGGACCTGTCGTTCAAATTGAACTTCGGCATATACATTGAATCCGTGGCCAAAAATGCAGCAAGGAAGCTTGGGACCCTTTCCAGGGTGAGGCGTTACTTTAGACCGGGACAGTTGCTTCAGCTGTACCAAGCACAAGTCCGGTCGTGCATGGAGTATTGCTGCCACCTTTGGGATGGCTCTGCTACATCACCGGGGGACTAGGTCGACTAGGCTTGCGTTCCACCCATATGTTATGTATAATCCAAAGATTCGCACCAAGCGTTACGCTTCCACATTTATTATGGCTAACGGCTATAGAGTGGAATTCCCTGCCTGCAGACTTGTTCCCTGAACGTTATAACTTGGGTCTTTTCAAGACGAGAGTGAATAGGCATTATTTAGGTGTGCATGCTCCATCGTCGACCTCATTGTCACTTTCCATCAGGTGAGATTGAGGTCAAATGCTCGTTTATAATTTATATATAAAAAAAATCTAGAAAAACACATAAAAATTATCTTAAGTAACCGGAGTAGTCAAGTGAACAGTAAAAAAGTAGCATTATTACGATTGTTTGATTAAATATAAATATAGTTTTCAGCAATGACAATATTATGAAACTATCTTTGTAACAGAAATAATACATACTTGTAAAGCCGGTGACAATATGTTTTCAGTAGCATTCTGGTCACCAGATGGAGCGGCCACTACAATGCTGAAGGAATCTTCTTCTCCGTCTTCCAAAGGAATGTTTTTCAGTCTAAACAATGTATAAGTAAGAACATGTTACATAACAAATAGCAAAGTAATCGCGTTTGTGACTTCTACAGTCGTCTGTCCATATGGTTGAAAGGAATAAAGTTCATCGTAGTAAATAGTAAAGAAATGATTTATTTCATGTCATACCTCATTAGGTAGTTTTCGAAGATCATCTCGGTGGTAAGGACGTCTTGGGAGAACCAGACCATACCACAACGTGATACTGTGGCAAGTGTTGCATATTTTAGATCTTGTACCTAGGAGAAATAGTCAAGTTTAGTAACAGTTGGTATGGTATTGTGAATATTATGTTTGTGCTTACAGTATAGTAAATAAGCGTTTTACAACGTATTGCTAGGCAGATGTAATTTTTTACTACAAATTTTAGAGAAGAGCACATTAGGTCATATATGCGCTGCCCAAATTCGAAGAACCAATTAAATTAATCAATTAATAAAATCAATGAACCAATTAATAAAATCAAGTAAAAAAAAACAAAAATAGAAAAATAAAATGCTACTGACCTCAAACATAACTCGCACATTAGGCGGTAGCGACAGACGTTCGCCATTGGGTAGGGTAAGCAGCTTGTTGTCGTCCAAAACCGAATTCAAGTTCTCTACCCATTCAGGGTCCACATCACCGTCGAATATGATCCATTGACGCTTGTTAATTTCTCCACGCACGTTGTCGATGATTTTTCTACATAAAAAAAATTTGAAAGAAAATGAAACAATGTCAGAGCCATAACGATAGACTTCTGTCTTGTTTTGTCTTGATTGTAGCCTTGCGTACACTCACCTAAGAATGTGAGTAAACAGACCATCAGTCCATTCACGAGTGTTTGGATCCAGAACACCGTACAGAGTTTCCTTTGACATCGCCTTTGGGTCGATTACGTGGGCTACGCCTTCAACGCCTTCAAATCTGTAATAAGAAATTATTTAAACAAATAAAAGCACATATTCAACTGGGCACAAATTTTCTCAAAAATGTTCAGAGCTATATAAAATTTCCTAAGTGTTTTTAAAAGTGAAAAAAAGTGTAAATTTAAAAAGGGTTCTCAAATAATATTAATTGGCGAATCAAAGCCAAATTTAATTATATAAACAAACCTCTCCAAAGCTTTGAGTAGTACTCTCCAAGCTGTAGATTTGCCGCTCCCAGAAGGTCCGACCATCATAAGGCCGTGATTTAATTTGCAGATTTGGTACAGTTGCAGCACCTATATGCGAACATATATCTTAATATTGATAATTTTAGACAATCTCTGAATTTTTTATCTTTTTAGAAACGCCTTAGAAGATTTATGAAGTGTCGGTATTAGACTAACAGTTGAGACATGTATATTAGTACCCAGTAGGGTAATAGTTTTTTTTATACATTTTTAGCATTATATTGTCCTAGTAACAATGGGCGTTTCTCTAATTATCGTTTATTTTCAAGAAAGATAGATGAGACGGAGATATCGTCAAAGAAACGAGTGTACGTTAAAATGGAACATGAAATAGTGTAAAATGGAAACGTGAACATTTACAGAGTTAGCAATAATGGCAAGGTAGTGGAAAGCTTATTTACAATGCTACATTTATTATTAACTACAAAAATAAAATAAACATAAATACACCTGAAATGGAAATTATAAGAGAAACAACATATGTTCTAATCTAGAAACTGTCAAAAGGAACACAAAATTTCAGAACAACCTATAGGATATTGATCTGATTTTAGAACGAAAAAGTCAGTGCATATCTACCAAAAAACGAAGTAAACATCTCAAATAAAACAAGGATTGAGGGGTTTTTATGTATGTTTTTCTTTAACATTCAAATTAATAAAAAAAAATTATCCATCAAAAACCAATAAACGGTTTTAAGCAGACGACAGACTTTTTTGTCCACCTATTTGTCAAATCACATACTGTCCGCATCGACCATGATTTTGGCATAGAATTAGACAGCCCGGATAAAAAGTTTTGTCGCCAGTTTACGGTCCGAAGTATTAGACTGAAAAAGGTGTGAACAGCAAGAAACACAAAACACAAACAGCAAAGTGAACACACATAGACCCGCACCGACTGACCTTGTCGATCCACGTGCTGTGCTGCGCGCGCGACGCTGCACTGCGCCTCTACGTGCCGTTAGCGGGTTAGCATGAAAACGCATACCAGTCACACTCACTCGGCTACCGTTATAATGAGGGTTGGAATTGCACTTCTAATTTTTGGTTACATGGGCTAATAGCACGAAGGATTCATTTAAAAAAGATATGAATTCTCTGACATCTTTTGTAATAGTTGTGATCTTTAACGAAGTTGTACCTTGAGTTCGACAAATCTTTTTGTTCCCATAAATATGCCAAGAACGGACATATAACTACAGTTTAAACTAAATCGACTATATTTTTTTTCAATTGCGAAATCGAACGCTTTGAAAAAGGAGCAAGACAAAATTTTCATCAAACATTTTTGACAGAATTTATGGCTTTGGATATAGCCCAATGTACTTTTTAAGATCCAATTGAAAATTGAGTCTGTTACAATGTTACAACAGTGTTTCAATACGCTACAGTGAAAGGTTAGTTTTGTATACTTTTATGTGGCCTCGTTTACCGAGGGACACATTTTAGTCACGTGAAGTGCAATCCCAACCTAATATTTGTATTATGATAAAGCAAATGTTATAACTTTTGCAGCGTGATTTTTAAAACATCGACCTGTTAAATGATCTATGCATTCTCGTTTATTAATATAGTAAATTTATACCATCACCGTCATGGTTGGTTATTTTTATTAATGATAGTGGTATTTTTAAATGATTTGGTAAAACTTGATCAAAAGTCGCAAAATTCTTTAGAACTGTAGGCGCACACTACTTTTTATTTTTAATTTTTGCGAAAATTCAATGTCTAATTACTAACACATGAAGAAGTACAGTAAAGGATGCTAATCATCTTAGGATCCATTTTTTATCCGACTTCAAAAAAGGAAGAGGTTCTCATTTCGACTGTATGTTCTTCTTTTTTTTGTATGTATGTTACGCGATAACTCCGGTATTTGTGAACCGATTTTCATGATTCTTTTTTTTTGTTGGAAAGGGGGTACTTCCAGTGGTCCCATTTCATTTTGAAGAAATTCATCCACCTCGAAGGGTGGTGGCTGTTCACGCATGAAGATTCATTTTTATAAATAGCGCCTAATTTTAATTTAGGAGCAATTACTTTAATGGTTGATTTTGCTATTTCTCCAATTCAAGGCGTTTTTCTCTCAATATACTTTGAGTAGTGAGAATAGATTTTTATTATCTCCAGTGTCAAGTCCTGTATAGTGGCGAACTAGGGGATATTTCAATAAAACTTAGCAAATAGACGAAATTCCACGTACTTTTGAGGTCGGTTTTTTTTAGTTTTCTGTACTGAGATTATTCTTCGTAACACTCAAAATTATCGTTCGAACAATGTTCAGACATAAAAATGACTGGCAACACAATCATTATATATGGCAATGTCTATACTTTAAATGGTAGGTATCCAGCTATCGGGGTTATTTAAAAAATGGGCCTAAGTATCGTCTTTTGCAGGACTGTAAAAATATCTACTACTTCTTTTATTTATTAAGAGTCCTTTATTTTATTATTACAATATCTAACACATTTGGCTAAAAAGCTGTTAAACCATTTAAATGTTACTTAATAAAGACAGTCGACAAGTCAAGTCATAGACATTTTATAATCCGATTCTGTTCTGTTTCTTTGGATTCGTATCTCTGGAATATCTATTTGTGTTTTTGATATATTCATCACTTTTGGCACATAACCCGATTATTAGCTACAATGAAAGCTGTCAAATCACGAAAAGATACATTTCGTCGAACGCAGTATTATTTATCGAGATCTTAGGTTTTCGCAATTGTTACACATAGGAAATGAAACTATTTTTCCGGATTTAAATCGCGTATATTTGTTTTGTCAACCGTGACCATGGGACCTGTAAAGGGCCCGAAACGCAGTATTATTTATTCATATAACTTGTAAACTTACATTTTTCAGCAATTTCTATTAAAATTAAAAAGATTTCAGTTAAATGGAGAGTTTCCTATGCATTTTAGAAGTTTTTTGACATAGTTGTACCTCGGTACACAATTGGGCCCAAAAATGAAAGGATTAAAGGATATCTTATTCCGCTCGTATGATAAACGACTCCAAAGTTAACCGACAGTTTTGTTCAAAATGTGAGCCTACAGTAATTGCTACAAAATTGTTCCTTTACCAAAAACCTCTACAATTTATATATTTTGAAAAGAATCGAATCAAGTTTTATCGAATGTCGCCTTAATATTTGTGCATAATATGACAACGTCCCTGAATGAAATTAATGAAGTTTCAATATTTGACGTCATATTGTCAAACTAGCTGTTAATTCCTCTTCCCAAGTTAACTAGCCACCATCAAAAAATTTTTATGTAGTCTATTATAAATAATTTTATGGGCCATACCTTGTCCATCCAAGTGGATCCTTGTTCGTCGCCTTCACCGCATACTAAGAATTCTTCAGCGCATACAGCGCGAATCTCATTCTTCAAACCTGTAGAAGAAAAGTCATTTTAACGTCTCTAAATTTGATGTCTTATATTTCATAAAGACTTATATTGCATGAAGTACTTATAATTTGATTCAATTGTCGTGTAGGAAGCGTTTTGGTAGTTTTGAATTAATATTGCATTACGAATATTATTTATTTAGCGATGACACTTTTGTATGTAATATTAACAGTTAAGTTCGAGGAAACTTATAACTCATTTCGGCAAAATTTTTTAACACTCAACTCACCTGTCATTTCAGCCCTAGTGTACCCAACATTAGGGAACACATCGTTTAGTAACGAGAACAACAGTGGGATGTCTTCAGCTACTAATTTAGGCACCATAGTCTCGCATACGGATTGTATGAGAATATCTTGTTCGGGCAGTGACTCTGCAATGGACGCTTCATCTGGCACTTCTTGGCCACGTTCTATGAGGTTTTCCTAAATAATTATATGAAAGTTGGCAGTGATTGAATAATGATTGTTAGAACGCTAAATGAACCTCAACACTGGAAGGAGCAACTGGGATTGCACGTACAATATTAAGGTAAACAATGTTCTTTCCCTTCTCCTATTAATATAATATCGCACATGAAACTCAATTTTGTTGTAATTCAAAATTGTTAGATTTGAGAAAATACGATTTCAAAATATAAAAAAATGTGAATGTTATTCCTAATAATAAGATTATTTTTATTTATACATAATAATTACTTATTCGCTTATAAACGAGGATATAAATTGATCTTAGACATATAAACACTTATAAACGAGAATATATTGATTCAGTAATTTGAACTGTCACATTGTGTTTTCTCAATTCCATCATTTTAACCGACTTCAAAAAAGGAGGAAATTCTCAATTCGACTGAGTGTTTTTTTTGTATGTGTGTTATGCGATAACTTCGGCATTTGTGAACTGATTTTGATGATTCTTTTTTTGTTGGAAAGACCTCAAGAACCTAAGGAGCAGTCCCATTTCAATGTGAAGAAAATATTCCACCTGTAAGGGTGGCTAACTAGGGGATGAATGACTTTTGAGGTCGGTTGTTTTAGTATTCTGTACGAGATTATTGTGTTTCAAGTGCGATATATTATGTTTCATCTGTTCTATACCAGTTTCGGTCATTAAGCGAAATTGAATAAAATCATTATACGCTTGCTATTAGAATATGCACTACACATTAAGAAATGTTTTGCAAACTATGTCTTGAGAATCGGCAGTTTGTCATTGGTAGGGTCTGATTTACTATCAGCTTTAAAAAAGATTTGCTTTGTATTATGAGTACATTTCTTAAAAACAAACTATATAAGGAGTAAGTAATACAATCAATTATCGGAAATACTGTAAAATTAAGAACAAATTTAAATTAAATGCTTTTAGTATTTGTCTCAGATCTACAAACCTTAATCTTTTGTATGCGGTCACGCTTGACGTTACCGGCCGAAACGAGTACAGATTTCAGAGCTCGTAAGCCAAAATCGTAGTGAGACTGGTTCGATAGTTGTTCATCGCATAATCTGGAAGTAAAAGTATACATAATAAATTAAAATAAAATGATAATAAATTAAAGTGAGCTTAATGCATGAGTGCATCGGTCTAATAATTTAAAAAAAGTTCAATGAAAGATCAGAATTTCGACCTTATTAGGCAACCGTATCATATGTACTCTTGTGGTTTTTCCAATGATAGCCCACATATTTTTAAATGTTAGCGTAGTTGGTAGGCAAGAAATCAGTCTTTTATTATACCTATCCAGCCGTAGTCAATTGACTATAAGCAGATGGGTAGAGTTAATTTGGCGTGAGAAGTGAGTTTCCTATTAGGACCCTTTTATTCCAGACTACTTAGTACGATATCGTAATGTGACTTGTACTTTGTGCAGAGGAATTCAAATTCTTGCTCTGTGCTTGTTACTAGGTAGTCATGTATTTTCGAGTAACTTATGAAAATCGAGTTGGATCATTGTTTGAGAATATAGTTCATTAACTGTGTGATTTTATACTGGATTGAGTCAACTTATGGTGGAATATCATACATTTTACTTTGGGTTATGCATATTGAATATAAGCTACTTTTTTCATTATGGCTTTAAAGTTAAAAAAAAAGAAAATCTTGTAATTATACTTCGTTCAATCCATTTTGAACAAAAAGTAAACAAACAGGTCAATGACCCGACCATAGATACTTTACCAGACCATAGATGGCTTAGTGATGGCTAATTGTAATACTAACTACAAATTGATTAACTAATTGAATGAATCGATTTGTTATAAAAAATTCCAATATAAAATTCTTATTATATTAAATTATTATTATTATTATCGGTATTCTACAGGATATATCACGGAAAGTTGCGATGGAATTGCATAATTTGATTCCGCCTTCCCCTTTCCCTCATCGGAAGACTAGACGTGGGCGGGGGTTCCACCCTTATGTTGTGGATATTCCCCGGATTCGCACGCAGCGTTTCGCTTCCACATTTGTATGGCGAGCGGCTAGGGAGTGGAATTCCCTGCCTGCAGACTTGTTCCCCGAACGCTATAACTTGGACCTTTTCAAGGCGAGAGTGAATAGGCATTATTTAGGTGTGCATGTTACATCCTCGACCTCGTCGTCACTTTCCATCAGGTGAGATGTAGGTCAAATGTGCACTTATTTTGTATAAAAAAATAAAAAAAATAAATAAGCTTATTTAAAATTTCCGAAACCTTAATTTTAAAGCCTCCTTCAAATTCTTACACTTGGGCTTTACTAATCGATTATAAAAACTGTAATTGAATGAGCTGAATATTTTTTTTCGTACAGCACTATGCAATCATAGACATGTCATAGTTGTATAATTGAAAAATAACCTCACTTTTGGGCTACCATTTGTCAAATGCGATTTTACGATTGTATTAAAAATGAATATTGTAGGAAAAAGTTAAGTGAGATATCAAGTCGAAATCTTCGAAATATACGTGAAACTGTTACTTATTCGATTTATTGATTGATTTAGTGATTACTTTAGAATTTTAACTAAGCAGTTTTGTTTACATTTTGCTCAAAATGGATTTGAACAGACTTTAGTGTTGAAATCTCGTTATAAACAGTCGTTCAAAGGGGGTTAATTATTCAATTCATACAAAATCAATTTGTAACTTCTGAATCACTTACTTGAAGAACGGTACAATCTTGCAAGCCAACTTCTCAGCAGTCCTAAATCCTTGGCTGAACAACATCACCTCAGCAATGAGCTGCCTATCCGGCGTGGTCATGGCCAAGCTGCGGAATAGCTTCTTCAAGTTGTCAGGTAAGTTGGACCGACCAGCATAACCAGGATTCATGGTGATGAAAATCGCCATGTCTTGGCTTACACGGACTTGCTTGCCGACTAACTCGACTGTAATTGATCTGCCTGGAAATATACAAAGTACGTGACGGATTTAGGATCCTGAAATGGAGGCATCAGCACTCACGTTGATGCTCGTTTTGTAAGTAGAAAAATAGTGGTGTTTAAAAAATTTTGTAACATGTCGAGAGTCGAAACCTAATTTGTCAGGTTTTAGGTAAATGTTCCGTCACAGCAAAAAAATATTTTCTCCTAATATACTTAATGTGCTATTGCTATGCTATAAAAGTGTTTCAACGTTCAACTTTTATATTTTCATTAGTAGAGAATATTTAAGAAAAATAGTTGTAGAATTTGAACATAACTTGGATGACATGTGCGAATAAACTTTATATGATTGGCCGCGAGCCTCTAATGTCTCAGGCCATTGCAAAGTAGAGATTATTTAGACAAGGCTACAGTTAATTTACTTGTATTGTTGTCTCCCTCTTGGTGGCTCTTGAGTGCCTCTTGAATGGTCTGCACTTGCTGTGAAACGGCGGACAACATTCTCTCTTCCAGTCGATTGAACTCGTCGAAGCAACCCCACGCGCCGACCTGTGAAAACAATTTGTTACCAACTTTTGTTGTCTGCATACATGGAAACAGACGTAAATTGAAAATTTAAGGAGTTAAGAAAACGTGTTGAAAAGAGGACGGCAGAAGCGTCATGCATTTACATAAAGGCCTATGAAACCAATACAGTTGATAAGGGCTATAGGTAAATGGAGGGTTTGTACATGATGAATTGACTATCGACCAGAACTTAGGAAATGAAACTATTTTTCTATTATTAATTAATAATAAATTGAACTTAATAAAAATTCATTGAATAAAATAATTTGTAAAACTTAATGTAGCGTAAATTGGAAAGTTTTCTTTATAAAATTAAAAATAAGGTATTTAATTAATAACCATTGCATATTAGACATAACTGGTGGAAGATAAGTTGGTGTTTATAAATGATTTGTGCCAAACTAAGTTGCCAAATGGGATGGTGATATCCTTTGCTGACGACACAACACTTTCATTCCAAGCTGACTCTTGGCAGGAAGTTTTTCAATGTGCTCAAATAGGGCTCAACTCTATCCTAGGTTGGTTAAACTGTAATCTTTTAACTTTAAACCAAAATTAAAAACCAAATATATGGTATTCGGAATGCGCTCTAATTCGCTGCCTACTATTGGCCACACACTCATTGCTCATGACTCTCCTGATAGTTGTAATTGTGGTGGATGCCGGTGCCCCGCTCTGCAATCCGGCCAAGAGTTCAAATATTTGGGTATAAATATTGACCAACATATTAATTTTAAAAATCATCTCTCTCTAACCGTGTTCGAAAGTTAATAGTAGTTTTCAAAACTTTACGTCATATAGCCGATTTTGATGTTCTTAGGATGGTATACTTTGCTACGTGTCAAACCATTCTTCTTTACTGCATTTCATCCTGGGGTGGTGTAGCAAAAACGACTCTTATGAAACTGGATAGTTAATTTTCGACGCCGTGATCGTGTGTGCCATTATTCGGCGTGGTCTACATCCTTTGCCCATCACTTCTTCGGCTTCCTCGGGCCCTTCTTATATAACGGATGTAATGGTGAATTGCATATTTATCCTCTAAACAAGTTTGAATGTAAGAACGTGGTCACTAAAAGGCTATTTAGACTTTGTCATATGAGGAAACGGAAAACCTCCTTCATGTTCCATTATAGTTAATTCCCACACACACAAACACACACTCTCACTCACTCACTCACTCACTCACACACACACACACACACACACACACACACACACACACACACACGCGCGCGCGCGCGCACACAGACACATACACACACACACACACACACACACACACACACACTTTTTTGTTGTTTGTTGTTGATACTTTACCCGTAGGCGGAGGCCTGGAGACCTATAGCACAGGGTATCCTAGTTTAGGCTCCAGCCTTCACAGACAACAAATGTTTTATTACTAAAGAATGTTTAATTATGGTTGAAATTGTGTGTGAAGGAAATAAATTTATTATTATTATTATTAAGACTGCACCACCTCAGTCAACCGTGACCATGGGACCTGTAAAGGGCCGGAAACGTCGGTTTGTTTGAAAAAACAAATATACGCGATTTAAATCCGAAAAATAGTTTCATTCCCTATGTGTAACAATCGCGAAAACCTAAGAACTTGACCAGAACTTAATTGAACAATAGCTACATGATATAACATAGTAATAGTGTCAAAATTATTTTAGTATAATTAGTTTTGATAAAATCCAAAAAGAAAAAAATTGCCTAACCTGGCAAAGACCGACGAAAATACGCCCCATGGCCTGGAAGTCGAACGTTTCGTCGCAGTTGAACACCAGTACGAAACGGCCGAGTTGGTTGCCAAGAGCTTTCACTGACTCCGTCTTTCCCGTGCCCGCGGGTCCTGTATACACACGATTACAAAAATGTGGCATTACATACATTTCAAGAAATATGGGATTGTCACAAAATTTTATTTTTCGTGATAATCAAACATATTGCTGATATGCAGGTCAAAAACATACTTATACTCGCTCTAAAAGCGTAATTGGTCAGGTCTCTCTGCTGTTTCAAAGGTACATAGGTATGTAAGCAAGTTCTGTCCTAAAATCCCTTACCAAACGGTGATCCTCCAAGTCTGGCTTCCAAAGCCTGAGTCATAGTAAGGTAGCAGCGGTCAGTCAACGGAGTTTGGACCAAACGGTCTTGCACACCGAGGTACTCGAAGCCGTATAGAAATTTAGCATTCGCCATGTGAATTGTGAGTTGTTGCAGTACCTATAAAACAATGAAGTTGGGTAGTTTAGTTTAAAGATTAGTTGTTCTTATTCAACTATGGCTATTGTGTTTATTTGTGGTAATTTAAAGAAAAAAAAAAAATAATTTCACGGAATACACAAGGTTATTTGAAAAATACTAAACAACTTCGCATGACTATATTACTGACGTCATCGTCACAAACAACAACTTTCTTTCCATGACTTTAATAATCCGTCAGATGTTAGTTTCGTACAAAAATAAAAATATTTACTTATCGCTGTAAGCGGTGATAACTGCGGTAGCAAAAGAAAGCGCTAGCGCCTGCCCGATGCAAAACGCAGGAGCGGGGTGAGGACGTTAGCATGTATGAACCTGTTGTACCTTACTACTAAATACAGGTTTAAAAAGCGTCATATAGTGCAATAAAAACTTAAAAGTTGTTTTTAGTGAATTTGTTTTGTAAAAAGTATTGAACTAAAGTTGTCGTTTACGATGCTAGTAATAATAGTCTAGAGCGGTTGTTATGTGGTATGATTATTTTACAAGTAACCCTGTATAGCCTCTACGAAGTACTTACATCGTTGTTTCTAGGGTCAAAGTAGAACCTCATTTCGCAGAGCCATTCGAAGGAACGCGGGCTGTTTACATCAGATGCGATCAGACGTCTGGTCACTGTACGTTTGTGCACGAACTCGTTGATCTAGGGAAAAATTGTTATAGTTAGTTGCAGTTTCATTATTGGAAATTTATCGATTATATAAAGAAAAATAAAACAGAGTAATAGTCAAATATAGTAGAGTATTTTTTAAATACAAAATAAATTTTCAATGCACGATCACCATGTGCATATCAATTGTGCAAAATTTATTTACTTATGTTTGTTTACTGACCAAGTGTTCAAGCTTCCTCCTTCGAAGTGGTGGCTGTTCCTGCAGCACGGAGTCCGCCAAGATGTTCAACATGTTCTCAACATGAGCGAGTACGCGCTTAAGCCCTTCGCCGCCTCCATTAGTCAAAGCTGCTTCTACGTCTTCCGACCAGAGAATTTGAGCTGCTAGTACAACTATTTGTGCCTGTAGAATAATGTTAACATTTAGTTTCATTAAATTAGGAAATTTTAAGGAACAAGAGTGTGCGTGTATACTGAAGTTTTATCTATTAGAAACTCTCAATTTAATATTGTAACGTTAATAAATTGAAATCGGGGTATGCAGAGGTTCCCATCATCATGCGTTCAATACAATAATTTTAGTTATTCCGAGCGCCGTCTTAGCGCCAACGGTAACATGTTCTTTTGTTCGGCATTGATGTCAAGTTGGCTGCGCCCGCGCCGCCGCCGGCTCCATGCCGCCACGGCAGACGATCCAACAGCTCTTGAGAGAACGCACGCCACTAGTAATATCGGTCGCTGCTACGTATTTTAAAACGTAACCGTATTTTGGTGTTCGTCACTGTACGTTCTTCGAAAATATTATCAATATTTAAAATAACCCCAGTTTGGGTAAGTAGTATTGATGTTGCTTGTTGCTAGGCTGAGCTTAAGACAAATTATGTACCAATTTGTTACGTATTCGCAAAGCTTGGGAAGTTGCGATTATCACGTCATGATTATTTTTATTTGTTTTAACCGTAAATGCATCTCAATTATGATTATATAAATTTATGTTGTAAAATATAAATGATTGATTGTGCTTGAATCTGTTGAATAATTATTAGTTAATGTTCCAGTCCACTCTCGCGTTTGCACAAAATTACTTAATGCTTTACTTTATGGTTATATTGTAACTCCGTGTCTGATTGTGAACAATCTCGGCAACACAACTACATAAGTACTTTTCCTTTCTGCCGTTGCCGTGGGTGCTCACAGCGTTTTCTGGAACTGTATGTAACGGTTTTTTGTTTAACGGCACGTTCCAGGGTCCAAAGTCCGGATTTGAAACCGTTGCCTACGTTTCGCTTTCGGCTTAGTACGATTTTCTGTAACAACCCAGCGTTTCCCCGCCGCTGAGCGTCCGTCTTCCACCCAGGCACGGCATCAGGGCAGTAAATAAGTAAACATGGATCGAATTGTCTATGTGCGGCCGAACCACGTCATTTGCATGTAACTGAGGAGGCCGTTGGCCTTAGTAAATGTTTTATTGAGCTGTTTTGTCTTTTGTGTTATTAAATACCTAGAAGGACAAAAACCCCTACTGCGACAATATTTGGAGTGCATGATAGTTAACAATTAAAAACTCAAGATTTGCTAGAGCATGCAATGTAACTGGACTGTACGAGGCTATATTAAATAGGTAAGGGTAAATGTTACAATTTATAATAAGGTCATTAATATCTTATTTAGAAGATAAGAATTATGTGAAAATTTTCAAGTTTTACCATTCTGCATGAAGTTCTTGTAGGACATAAAACATACGAAGGTAAACTTACCTGATATTTGTCACACCAATCAATAAATTTCTGCGGGTCAACATTTCCGTCCTTAAACTGCTTCACGTCTGCGACAGCGTCTTTGAGCCGGCAAGCCAATGTGACACGCATCTCTTTCTCTACTAGTGATAGCCAGGAATTGATCTTGGGATTCTCAATCGTGGATACTGGTTGTGTGAAGTATACCTATAAAATAAAGTAATTCTTAAAAGCCTACCTTTAGACTTTGACAATAGCATCTTTAACTATGAATTCAGAATGCTAAAGATATCATATTCATATGCGCCTGTCTCCCTCAGGGGTAGGCAGACCATGCAGTTCTCCACTTGGATGTTCCTAACATACCTCTCACTTCCTTTACAAATATCAGTATTTTCATACACGCCAATTTATTCTTATTTCCTTGGGCCTGACTCATTATAACACCTAAAGCTGATTAAGATTTGTATGCCAATTCCTATCTATTTGTGTTAGTCTAGTACATCTAACATCTATATCATGTTATTTGAAAACAAAAATACAAAACAAATCTTAATAATAAGGGCACGGTTCCATTATGTCGTAACGTTTTATTTATCGTTGGACGACTGTCGCATCTAGCCTGTTCCCATATCACGACTATCGTGACTCAGTCGTGGACGTTTATCTTATTGTTGAACGACTGACGTGTCTAGGTGTTCTTACTTGATCGTGACGACAATTTATCGGTTCACGGTAGTCGCCATGTCGTTTGCACGACAGAATCCTTTGAAGTTGCGATTATCTGTCGTCACATTTTTATCGTGACGTTTTATTTATCGTCAGATGATTGCCGTTCTGGCTCTTCCCATTGCCACGACAGTCTGTCGTCGTAACGTCAATAAAGTCGTGAACAACTTCATTTAAATATACAAGTCACGACACTTTAAACTGCACGACTATCTATCGTCACGACATAATGGGAAAGCGCCCTAACTAGCGCTTCGGAGAAACGGTTTGTATGCTAATGCTGAGAAATGTCTAGAGTAATGATTCTTCATCTTTAACTACATTATATACCGATACGGGTGCATGAAACTTTAATATCAGTGCTGTTTGTTTGTTGTACTGAATGCCAATTTCTTGTTGTGGAGAAGAAAAAAAAACAGTTACATCTTTGTAGATTTGAAGACTTTCGTGGTTATTCACTAAATGATTATTAATCATTTAGTTACATCTTTGTCGACTTTAAAATGTCTAGGTGTATTTTATAAGTATATGCCTAGCACTTGATAGACCCGTTACTCTTTTCTTTCAGTCAGATTTCATTAATTTGTTGTTTGTGATCAACTATTCTAAAACTTGATCTTGATTTGAACTTGATTTCTAAATCTACTTACACGTTTCATTATTATCATTACACATTGTTCATGCGAAATCATAATTATTTGAAGAAAGTTCGAATCGATCGAGATCGCGATCCTTTCATTTGGTGGTCTGGTATCAAGCAGTATCTAACAAAGTTTGAAAGAGTTTATAGCGAAAAGCAGAGCTGTCCTCTGCAGCTGGTATTGTTTACTAAAATAAACCACTTATTGCAGAAATACTGGTCTTCATCCGCCTTTATTCAAATTTGAGTAATAATTACAGATTACGTTATCTAGCTTTATAGTTCTTTATAGTTACAAGTAATGAACAGATTGCCAACAATCATGTAGATGCTATTAAAGAGGATAGTAACAGTGTAACTTATTACTATCCTCTTTAATCAATAAATCAAGTTATTTAGCGTACTGAGTGTGATTTTTTATCTATTTTAAATATCTGGTATCCGGCCGGATATCGGATAGTTACCGGATATCCGTTTCATCTCTACATTATACATTGTTTTAACAATCAAATTGAGTCTTAATGAAACACGTCACCATACTTCTCAATAAATCACAATTGTATAAACCTGTAAAACTATAAAGTCGAGTACTTACCTCTTCACCCTCTCTGGAAGCGATACCGTTAATAATTGTGTTGTCTTCGTTGAGAATGATAGCAGCGATACCGGCAAACATCTTCTTGAAATGTTTTTGCAGACGCGCAACGTTCTTGCTGTTACCGATGATTTCTAACAAATCTTCGTCACCGACGAAGTAGAATCTGTGAAAAATGTATGTTTCTTTAAGTTTCTCGTTAGTTGGTACTACGATCCTATTGTCAGCGGGAGGGGGACGCCGATAAATCATAAGCATTTGTCTCCAATGCTACGCAAGCTACCAACGTTGGTAACGAGGTCCGTGCTAAGTTTACAACAAAAGATTGTGACAGTTTGTTTTCATAGGCGACTTTTCTTGCCCGTTTATCATTATCCTGCTCTAATATAAAATGAACTTACCTAGGGAAACTAGTTCTCTCGCGTTCAAGATACTCTCCGAGGGCTTTCTGGATTTTGCCGAGTAAGTCAGCGAGTCGTTCCAGAGATCGCTGTACTCCAGGGATGTTTAGCACATCAGTCACCATAGGCGACTTGCTCACTTTCTTCATCAGACCGAGGAACTCGGAACTATATGAAAGATACACAGAATATCATGTTAAATTACACCAAACAAAATATTTCATCTAATGATTTACTTGAGAGATTTGAGAAATAATAAAGGGGAGGTAAAAGTTTGTAATAAGATTCTTGCTTGATACTTTGGTCAGTTAGAAGAAAGATTCGTAGTCGGTTGTGTGCTCGCTACAAGACCAAATAAAACTAGATGATGATGTTTAATTTTCTTAACTTTTTGATATGCAAGTTTCAAATTTACCTGATGCTCTGGAAGCGGCTAGTTTCCACCGGCAGTAGAGTTTTAATATCAGCAGATCCACTGAAAATACCTTCCAAGTACACCCAGCGACGCTGCACGTCGATCCACACGTCAAACAGGGCGTTAATACGGTTTAATTTCTCTTCCCATGTTAGTGCTTCTTCTTCGAACACCTGTGTGTTTAGAAATTTAATTAATGCAAATTCTTATCTTTCACATAGTACATGTATATTTTATCGTTCTAATCTTTTTCTTTTTGGTAACCTACGAATTTTTACTTTTGCATTTAATAACCTTTTATTGTACAAAAACACCACAACAAATAATTAAAGATGACTAACCTATTCCACTACCCCTGCAATGTAAAACTTACATTATTGTCAACTGCGAAGATTGTTATTAGTGTACCATCTGTAAAGAATATTTCTCGCTATGTATGTACGTAAACTTACCTTATAATACGGCGAGAGTTTCATAGCAGCAACGCTGTTGATGTGCTCCTTAACCTTATTGAAGAGGTCGTCCCAGCCGCGGATGATCTTGCATTTGTTCTGGTAGTTGATCAGATCCAGTTCGTAGCTCTGCCATGATTCGCGCACCTGAGGTATTGGGATAGTTTAAAAATAATTATCTGCTTGACAATTACTTAAGGCGAAAAACTTCGGAAATTATATTTATATACTTAATTACTACCAAAACTCAATTTTAAAACTCTTTTTGAATTTTTGAATTGATTGAATTTTTTCTCGAAATGGCGCTTTCGCCCTTTCTACAAAACACCGACGATTATGTCAGGCATGTTTTAGGCATCATGCATAAAACGAAAATATTCGAATTGTTTAAATACCTGTTTCAAGAATTCTTCCAGGGCCATTTCTCCTTGAGCTACTGAAACGACATCCTTGACAGTATGTTCGTTGTGCAATAGATCGGCATCCCATACTTGGCCGAGGGTTAGTTCGGAAAGCGACCATTCGACTTTGAGAGCCTTGCACAGTTGACGCCAATGACGTTCCTTTAGAGCGTCCGATTTTAGCTCCACGATTAACATGTTGACCTGGTAATAGACAATATAATGTAAACGTTTTGCAGTGTTGTAATGGTGACCAGTACTTTATTTGAAGCAGTTTCAAATGAATAAAGTTTTTACCTTGGTGTAAGATTGCAGTAGTTTGCGTACATACTCGTAGCTGTCGTACATGCGTAGACGAGCGGGGAGCTCTTTGAGCTCATTCAACATAGCTTCCAGTTGTTGCCTATAAAATTAACAAGTATCTTTGAATGTATCTTACAGGAAGAGGGACTGGTAGCAATAATAGAAATGACAATGGCTCATCCCGCTAACATAGTCGATTAAGATAATAGTGGCAAAAACCTAACGCATAAGAACCATGAAAATTAATGGTTAACCTAAGTTTCCTCGGCTGTACAGAGAGCCATGGTTTCTCCCTGATGTCATCAATCTGTGTCCAGATTTTGCTGAGCGACGACCACACACCGCGCAGGTCTTGCAGCTCTTCGAGGGCCACTGTCATACGCTCGTTATTCACAGAGCTTCCTGTATAAGTTGATGATTTTAAAGTGAGAGTTAATATTATTGGAGAATGTGGGAAACGACTGGAACGAATGGAGACGATATTATAAAAAAAGACAAGAATAAAAATTGTCAGAATTGTAGCATGTGAAGATGCGTAATATCTTCTATCTTCACTGACAGACAAGCGTAATGATACAAATGCACAAATAACCAAGTTTCTCTTAGTCCCTATTACTGGTAAATAAATAAACAAGGCGACAGAATATTTGCTACATGGAAATTTTGAAGGACATACGGTGTTATACATAAGACATATGGTACCTGTATCGTGTAACTCAAGAGCTTCCTTAGCTTTAGCTACATTGTCTCTCTCGTCTTTCAGCCTAGTGTATCTAGTTTCCATAGCCTGCAATCTAGCCAGCGCATCTTCAGGTCTTGTAGAACCATCTGTAGGCTTGTTACGCTCCCACTCAGTAAGGAATTCCAGTGTACGCGCTTCGACGGCTTTGTCTTCTGCTACGATCTTCTGTTGCAGTGATGCCACCTAGATAACAAATTGCTGTTTAACATTGTGGCAATTTTTCACGAGGTCGACGATAAGAATCGTACGGGTCGCAAAACTAGAATAAATTGGCGCTAGAACTGTACATAGCAATTGTTACTCAATTTAGTAATATACTTATTTACTCAGCGTTAAGTTCTTGGTACGAATACGTACCTGAGTTTGAATTGAAGAGTCCTTGCGACGCATTATCTCATTGAAGGCACTCCATTCACCTTCGATGTTATCAACATGCAGCCATTGAGTAGGGAACTGGAATCTGGATTTGATAAAAAGTTTTGATTAAGCAGTTGAAAATAAGATACAATTAAATAATTTTTTTCAAAAAGTGGCTGGCTGGAAAGGCGACTTTAGTTTTTTTTCTTTCTAAATTAGTCAACTGATCGACAAATATGAATCCGCGGTTAACGTGTCCATGTTCAAACCTCTGTCTTTCCAAGATGCGTTGTGCCTCCCTGTAGATATCCACTTGTTTCTCCCACGCAAGTACTTCCCTCTTCAATTGTTGTACGTATGTAATGAGTGATACTGCATCGCTGGTGGAAGCGGCTTCTGCAAAG